TATATAATATATTTTGTCAAAAATATATAAAACCTAAAAAACTGAAATTGACAAGTTTGAAATTCTATACTTTCTGCGCTGTTAGTGGTCTTGTATATGGAAGCTGAGAAGATGATCCTGGTTGTGACTGAGAAGGACCGGGTCTACGTCCCCAAGCATGGGATGATTGTGATTGTGAACCAGATTGATGTCCAGGCGTAGTGGAATATGGTTTATTATCATAGCTCCTTCCTCTGCCTCGACTTTTACTTCTACCTCTGCCCTGCTCAGCCATATTTTATACCAAACCTTTAAAAATCTAAAAAGAAAACCATTAAGATACTCTCTCCTCTCAAATTTATTCTTTATCTCAAACGAAGTAGAAAAAGTTGTATTATTTAATATAATATTATTAAAAATCTATGATCTTTATATCAATAAATTTTCAAAGATGAAAATAATACTATCATTTTAAATGTTTCAAAATACTAAATGAAAAAAATGATCTATGTTTGATTATGATCAAATATATGATGTTGAAAGTAATTCAAGGTTATGTATGTATGTATTGAAAACAAAAATTTCTAATATCTGGTTAAAATAATGATTCAAAGTACTAAGTTTCTTCCTAGGATTTATTAATTATATTATTTAGTTTATTTATTAGATACAGTTAACAAATATAAACAAATATATAAACGTTATCATAATAATGAACATGTGGTTTGATTTGTATATATAAAGAATTTTTTTCTTCATTAGGATTAAAATATATTGAAATTTAATATGAAATAATAAAAAATTAGTAAATATAACATATATTAAATATATGGTAAATGTAATATATATATATATATATATATCCAATTATTATTTTATATGTATATATGTACGTATAACATACACTACATATGATTAACAATATCTCAAATTACAGTATTTGATACAATTTTCTTATAGAAATTTATTATACTAAATGGACTAAATTTTATTCTATTAATTAAAATCCCAGAGATTTAATATAATGTTTATGTACACAATAATTCATGAACTTTGTAATTTTTGCGAGAAAATTTAATAAAAATTCTGATATAATTATTAATAAAATCTTATAGTGCCCAATTTAAAATAAGTTTGATGAAATAAAGAAATTCACATACCTCTTATTCAGCCAGTTATGAACTGTACATTCAATGGCATTTATAAAACGTTCAAATTTACGCATGCGTATTCAAAAGTTATAAACGTTATCCAGTGCTGTATCAAAACAAATATTTGTTAAATGTTTTCTTACTACTTTTTAAATACATTTTAATATGATAAAAAGTTGATAGGCATAAATAAAATAAAACAATTCTAAGTATTTCTAATTACGAATATTTAAACTCAATTATTTTATAGTAGTATAGTTTACTAGACAATTTTTTGTAGTTCGTACAAATTGATACGTGAATGGTATTGTTCAAAGCGCATGTTCTATAAAATAATCTGAGGGATTATGGGTAATTTCTTGCTATTTTAGTTTGAAAATCTTGATAGAAACTTGATTTGTCGATATTTTTTACTATACCAATCAGATTTCTGTAAAGATTTAATCAATCACATAAAGTAAAATAACTAAAATCTCATTTCTACTTCTAGTAAATTATCTCACTAGAAAGAGAGAGAGAGAGAGAAAAATAGAGGCAGCACGTGTATTTTAACCTCAATTTAACCTGTGGATAATTTGTATATTAATAAAAAATGGGAAAACAAAAGAGACAAAGAAGTATGCCTCACAAAAAACATCCTACAGGACTTCTATCTGTTAAAGATTTTGAAATGACAGAAATTGAAGATGTTACGAATGAAGATCGTGAAAGTGCTTTACAAAGAGTATATGATGAAGTTGGTCTCTTATATAAAAAAAATATTATTTGACTTTCTAAATATTTACAATTAATTATAAAATTATAAACAATACAGATACAGTCCGCTAATGTCGAAGAAAAATTATGTGGATTGCAAACAGTGGAATCAATGTCTTGTGATTCCACTCTCGCTGTACACATTACGAAAAAAGGAATTTCTAAAATAATAGGACCACTACTTGTTGATAAAAATGTGCTTGTACGAACTTGTAGCGCAAATGCTCTAAGATCTATAGCAGACAACGGAAAAATGGAAGCGCATGTAACTTTATTGAAAGATGATATTATGACTCCACTATGTACTCTATTAAAGCAAGTAAGTCTAAGTGAACGCCCATTTTTTCATATTCTTTCTATTGTATTTTATTTTCTATTTTATATTATGATAGAAATCAATAATTTATGTATAATTTATAGTATTATTCAAATTGGCAACCAAAAGTTGATAATTATGAGAAAACCAAAGTAAATGATGAAAGAGAAGCATTTATCCAAGCAGTTACATTGTTATGGACTTTGTGTGAATATAATGAATCTGCTGTAAAATGTAGTAATGAAAATGATATTGATTCTATTTTAATGAAGTATTTTGATATTTCTACTTATGGTATAGAAATTGCTATTGTTAGTGTGCAATGTTTATTATCTTTATCAGAAAATAATTCTATTGTTATTAAGAAACTTAAGAGCTATGAAGATATGCTTGTTCAACTGTTAAATACAGAAATAAAGGATGGTAGTATTTCTGATACAATCCATTTTAAAACTGTTATAAGTGGTCTGTTAATCAATCTTAGTAATAATATAGAAAATAATTCTATGAATATAATTTGTAAAGTGATAAATGTACTTTCTGATACACTTTCTGTTGATTCTAAACAGTTATTATCCAATTTAACTTCAATTTTACCTCATGAAAAAAATAATTTTTCAAGTATTGCAAAGAAAAAAGTGCAGGAAAATAGGAGAATTTTTGGTGCACAGCAACAAGCTTTAGAGATTTTAGCCAATTTGTGTTCTGAAGATGAAGAGAATGAAAATGACTCTGATTTAGAGGAATCGGATTGTGAAACTGAAGTTATAGATGATGTTTGCATGGATGATAAATTATACAAAACCTTCTCCTCTATGCCACTAGAAATAATTGAAGTATTTAATACTTGTAACATAGTGAATAAAGTATGGGATAAAACTAAAATTCTAGATAAAAATACAATAGAAATACTAGAACAAAATGTTGAAGGAAAAGATATCTTAAAGCAAATTCACACATTAAATTGTACAGCCTATTTGTGTTTAAATAACTTAATGTCAAGTTTAGAACTTGATTCCCTTGGTGGTATAGAAGATATATATAGGTAACAAAAATTTCTGGTACATTAGGATTAATATATTACTGAAATAAAATTATTTCATTTATGCTATTTCTAAGCTTAGAATGTGGATAGACATTGGAACAGTTGTTTTCAAGGACACAAGTCCAGATGATATAGAATTATTAGAATCTGCTACAGCAGCTATGAGGGCAGCAATTCAAAAGTTATCAGAAGGAAAAGTAAATATTTTTGAGCAACTGACACTAGCTGACGTTCAACCGATGTTAAACGGAGAACGTCAATGTCCGAATACCAACGTACGAGTGAATTTAATACGAATATTAGGAAATTTGGCTTTGATTTTAATGAATCATGGTACCTCCAGAGCTCACGAGATAATCAAGGTAAGATTTATATAATTTCATTAAGATTTAATAATAATTAATTTTTTATAATATTTTTTTAGCATATATCCACATTCCTATTAGACACTTGTATGTCGGAGACAAAAGTTTGGGTTATGGCTGAATCTTTAGATTCAATAATGGACATATATTCTGAAGATAATAGTAATGAGTTAGCAAATGAAATTAAGTTATTAGACAGACTACATACCATAGTACCAGCTTTTAAAAATAAGGTAAGATCTTTTTTCAGCTTCAGTGTTTAAAATTATGGTTTAATATTTTAAATTTATTATTGTAATTATTTCTTAATTATAGGCAAGACAACAGAGAAAAACCCTAGGTGACAATGTTGCAGTAGTATCTACAGTAAATATGAATATCATGAGGTTCATAAGGTACAAAGAAAAAAGGATAAAAAGTCTTTAGAAGCGTTGTTTTGGTTTTTTAATACATTAACATATTTTTTGTCAATTATTATATGTATGTTAGTATATCAACGTATTAAAATAATATTTACAATGTAAATATATTTATATAAAATATTTGTAACTAACTTTTAATTTGTAACAATAAAAGCTTTGTATCTCGAAGCAATCAGTGATTAAATTTAATTATTCTTGAAAATGTCAATCAGATAGATAAAAACAGGTTTAGCAAGTTGGGAATTTTTTGAAATAAAATTATTAACATGTGTTTTTTGCAGAAAAAGAACAGACCAAATATAATATAATTTTCAGACTTTATTCTGCATTAATAAATAATGAAATTACTAAGTAAACGGAAAATACGTACGGTCACATAATTTATAGATGAAATAGATCGAGACTCTGTCTTTGCAATAAAGTTCTAAATTCATAATATGCATACTTGCAATATATCAATCTTTTGATGTATCTCGAAAAATAATATATTCTGCTTAAGAAATACCACAAAAATAATTCCATCTTATAGCTGCGTAGAAATCAACTTTAAAGCTACGATTATGCACTTAATGATACCTCAAACATTGAAAGAGAATTTTAAGCATTAAATAAAGGTACATATACATGATATTTAGACAGTCTTTAAAGACATATCTCGACTAAAATTTCGTTTAATTTAGAAACAAACATTTAATTGAAACAATTGCACAATTTGCTACAAGAATTTATCACTAAATATTAGAGATTTAAAATGACTGTCCCCTGGTCGATTCAAGGCTCCTTCTAACTTCGTTTTGAGCCACGTCAAATTGAGAATCATTCAGATTCAAAGCACTGTGCCTCCTAGGTTTCGGGATTGGATTCACATCTTCAAGAATCTCTGGCTTTCGTCTTATTGGCTCGGAAATGTGAAGTTCAACCACTTTCACTGGCTCTCTAGATGCTATTGTAGGAACGGGTGAGTCATTTAATCTCACTAGATGAATGTCCTTCTGTTCCCTCGGAAATTCCTTAAACTCTATTTTAATTGCTTTATTATTTTCATTTTCTACCATATTTTGGAAGAAATGTCTGCGGTTTTCCTGTATCGAATGTCTTGCATTTTCCTGCAAATTATTCGCGTTCTTCTCTTCAAATGAGTCCTTAGAAGCATTTTTTGTTTCTAAAGCTTTAATTTGCCTCTCAATCTTTTCGATCTCATCTTTTACGGAGAAACTATTACTTCTGGACAACGTACCCGAGGAACCATTTCTTCGAAGGCAAACATCATCTAAGTCTGACAACGAATTCACTTGATCAACATCTTTAATTATTTCTATATTTTCCTGAGAAGTTCTGCGATATTCGATTTGAATATCTTTTTCGTTTTTCTTAACAGGTTCTTCAGAGTCTTTTTCTGTATTCTTTTGGTCCTCCATTACCAACATTTTTGATTCTATTTGCTCTATTTCTACGGATTCCTTTTTATTGCAAATTTCCTCTTTTTCTGGCATGTTTATATTAATATCTACATTAGTCTCTACAGCGTTTGTTAAATCGTCTTCTGCTATGGCTTCTTCAGATAATCGTGTATCATCCGAATCTAAAGCCACGGACTTTTCTTTTATTTCGCTAACTTCTTGGTCTATATCCTTACTCTTCTTCGTTAAATCATCTATGTTCTCGGTAACCCTTACTATGTCACTTGGTTCCACTATCTGAAGTTCTATATTAGATCCATCGGGAGCTTTCTACAGAGAGTATAATGAAAAATAATCCAAACAATATTTTAATTTAAACATTTAGTTTAAAGGATTGAAAGACTTACTTCGTTCGTTTCCACATTTTCTGGGCGTCGCGGTGGCTGCGGTGCTCTTCGCTTTTTACGACCATACGAACTCATCGTGCTTCCGACAGAAACACAGCTATTTATCGAGAGATTTGATTTTCTTACAGCATCCTGAGAATACCTTTTAAATACGTAATCCCCGGGTACATTCTCATTTTCGTCGCATATCATCACATCGCCTGAACGACTCGCTTCTTCCTCTGAATCCAGAGTATTTGCGATCACCCTTTGCGACGATCTGTTACCAAATCTTCGTCTAACAAAGTTAAATGTATTTAATGAATTTGATATTTTTCATCGATTCAATAATTATAACATAATACGATGTAGAATTTAAATACTTACAAAGGAGGTACAGGCGTTCTTTCCTGCGTTTTTTCTCGAAGAGTTACACTTTCATTCTCATTTGGACTTTCATTTTCAAAATCCAACGGTGGTATCTTATCTGTTGGCTTTGGACTCATTTGACCAAATCTAAATACAAAAAGCTAATTAATGAACTTTCAAATCTAATGACATGTACACATATAAATAATCATACTTTAAGGTTTTAAAATTGCAATTAACTTGCAATTTAAAAAATAAAATTAGTAAAATTTCTGTGCAATTTAAAAGGTTAATAATGACGTACAATATGACAAAACATGTTCACCTTCGTGCTGGTGGTTTCGGAGTAAGATCACCCATAATGGACGTGGTAGTATTCTGCGGACTGCCATCATAGAGCCTTGCAGGATCACCGTTAACAGTCAAACTCGAACTATATCTCGATGCAGAATTATCTAGCGTATATTTTCTTCTTCTGACCAAAGTCCCAAGAGCTTCATCAAACTCTTGCTGATCTTTCGTCATACGTGGCGGTGGCATCGATGTGACATAAGGTTCTCTTTTGTAGGTTGATGACACTATTAAAAATCCAATATTAAGATTAATAAAAGAAAAAAACTAATTCTTTTTCATTCGAAGTTAATAGAAAGCTTAATCATCAAACGTTAATTGCGATTTATTTAGAAAATGTTATGAAATATAAACGACATTTTGCATTTTCTCTTCTTATAGTAAAACTTTTAATAACAACCTGTGGTGATCGTAGATCTCTTTTCTTGAGTTTCCGACTTGTCCTCTTTCCGTTTCCCGAACAACCCGTTCCTGAAAGCATAATGAAATAAGCAAATTAACGACCATTAGTACGTGCGACGCGTGTCTTGCTTTATATTCAAACGCGTTAACGGATCTGTGTCACATTGCTGCACTGTGCAACAAGATGAGACTTTGCACGTTGCTATACTCTTAACCCACATATCTCGAAATTATTATTTCTGATGAAGAATTTCAGAACTAAGACGACGATTATCTTTTCCAATTAACAGAAATAGACTGAGTTCAACGAAGAACACAATTATGAGATATTCAAATAAATTCGGAACACTTTCAACTTTGATTAGATATTAATTATAAACGATGACTATCAGTAAGCGGAACAGCTTCTTGCTTTTGCCATTTTTCTCAAACCGAACATACAATGACACTTATCCTCTGTGCTTCGTTTCTTCCCGAAGTTAAACTTAATTCACGACCAAGGACACGCTTCAGCAACTTTGGTATGATAGATTATGAAGTTGACGGATAAGATTTCCTTTCAATTCCTCCTTCTCGAATGTACAAAGAATTTCTGTTTATTTCAATATAATCATATTTAATTTTTTAAATATACGCAAATTATCATGCAATTAAAATGGTCTTCATACCTGAATAAATCGTTTTTCTGAAGCTTAAGGTTCCTTAAATTTTCCCCGAATTTGAAGATATAATAAAAATAGAGGATTATTTTTATAAAAGTATTATATTGAAAATATCAATATAAAGCAAACAGCTAATTTCCAGGAAAAGAGAAAGAAGAGATTAAAGTCAAAAATAAATATTGGATACTAAAACCTGTGATGTTTATTTTTTAAATAAACTAAGGATAGAAATTTACTTTTGTGAGAAGTATTCGTAGAAGACTCTAAAAATTGATTTTTCAATACCATACCAAATCAGTTAATGGCTATTAAACACACACACACGCTAAGTGTAGGATCTTACAATTAGTGTTAGTTATTAATCCTGGTGAAGATAATTTCGACTGGCAATCAGACCGGAACTATTTCTTTCTGATGTAAATTCGTAAAAGGCATCATTTTGTAAATTAAAATCGAGATTTCACCAAGAATATGCCACTATAATGTCCGTGAACAAATCTAAAGAGAAAAAAAAAAGAAAAATCGAGGCATTAAAGGAAAGATTAGTACGTCGTTTGAAGAAAGTAGAAAAATCGATATTACAAATGATACCGTTTCATGCTTGGATACTTCGGTACAATTGCTGATGTCTACTCGCTAAATGATTAATAGCTTTCATACAAAAGCTGATCCACAGTACTATCTAAGTTTCTGTGGGTCAGCAACAGACTATCCCTGGATGATTTATAAGTCTTGTGACGCATCTTTCGTGACCTTTCTGTGCAGATAAATTGACCAAATATCGACACGTAATGTCCAATATATGGAGACATAAGCCTAACAGCTGGCTTCCTAACTATGCAGAAAGCTATGACGATTTTAGTTCTTTGATGATGTAGAACTTATGGACAAGATTATCTAAAACAACGTTGATATTAATCTCCTGATGATAAAAAATTATAGCTTAAATTAGTTCTGCTCACAGCGAAAACAAGATTTATTTTAAGCTTCTCTGACTGCTCCTAAAGTTTAAACAAATTTGCAAAGCAATTTAAACTTTCTACGTTTATGATATAAGTTATAGAATATTCGAACAGCATGCATTTAATATCTGAAAATTAGATTAGATTGAAAATGAAGATACAGAAAGTGTATACAAAATGCAGTAGATCCATATTTACAGACTATTAACGTTCTTATGGGTTTCATAAAAGTGAAATTATGGTAATAAAAGCAGGCAAGATTGGCTTAAATTAAGAAAAATTGTTAAAGATCGATGGTTCCGATATATTACAGAATTTTCTATGCGATGTTGCAAACTGTACGATACATAAAACATATAAGAAATATTGAACTTTCTATTCGAAGCTGTAAAATAAGTCTGCGCACAAGATTATCATTACATTGCATTACATAATATTACATTATCGCTTTAATTTTTAAATAGATTATCTTATATCTGATAACAACAATAAGTTATCGATAGCATTGTACATACGATATTAGAATTGAAGTGATATTAACTACAACCAAAAACCTTTCCCTGAGAAATTAATTTCATCGAAAGTAACTAAACCGCTGAATTATAAAATCATTTTATAATTAGTCACGCTACTTTCGTAATAATGAAAATAAAAACATTAACAATTAAACGTAACATACTAATTTCTACGGGAATTAGAAACGCTAAAAAATGTTTTTAAAGCAAAGGAAAGTTGCTTGCGGGGAAAAACTGCATCTTGTGAACGCGCAGTTACGCAGCAAAGGTGCATCGAACGTTGCCTCAAATAGAAACTGCAGACCTTTTGGATGGAACACGACCTGACGTCGATCGTCTGGTACGTTAGATTCTCTTTATTTATGTTCTTTGGGTGACAGCCAAATGCAGGTACCTAGCCGCATACGATTCACGTGTGCATTTTGTTCACGATGCTAAGTTCAAGTTCAACAAACTTCTAGCCGAACCTTTCCCAATTTACATTCAAGCTCGACACACTATTGCAAAAGTAGAACTCTGACAAATAATCAAACATAATAGCGTGATTTAGTACTATCGAGCAATCTTGTATCCTTTTTAGTGAATCATTCAGTATTCGAAAACCTGCAACACACGATGCAACTTGAGGATAAAATTAATATATCATGTACAACCATATTCTTTCATTTGCCTACGACTATTCAGAGTTATTATTAGCAAAGATTCACCAATTTTAGCCTTGTTCCTATACCACTCGCCTCTTCTGAAGACTATACTTTCTGTGTACAGTTAGATCTACATTTTACTGAATCAATTCGTTCTAAGCCTTGGAAATGACGTTTGTTTTAAAGTCCTGGTAACTGATATAAACAAAAAGGATGAATATTTAAGAGAGTACAAGTTACTTCCTACCTTCACATGAATTTGAAGTGACAAATTTTCTAGAACTGTTAAATAGGAAAAAATATTTACCACGTGGACTTGATGGAGAAGCTATTGGATCTCTTCTTCCTGCTTCTGCCAAAGGTCCAGAATTTGTACTTGGAATCCTTTGTCTTGCCATCCCGGTAAAAGTGAGACTGTGTATTGGTGAAGTCATCGCTGAACGGATTCAAATGTTCCGGATAATCGTGGATGGAAATGCTGGGACGTCTCGATTGCGACATGATTCACCGTGTTGCCTCTGCAAGTTTTCGGATTTTATCTCGGTTGACAGCATGAAATCGTCGCGACGCCACAACGGGGTTCACCGGTCTCTCGTCATCCTCCTCCTTGTGACTTCGTTCGTCTGCAATCGTAAAACAAAGCGTGTTATTTTTGTTGGAATGCTATGAACATGTATTCTTATTCGCATTTGAGTACAGAAAATAAAATCCTCTGCGAACAAAATTACGTGGCTTTACTACCATTGGGATATTCCATGGAAAACCAAAACCAGTAAAAGCGATTAAAATAGTTTGAAAATAGCATTTTAGTAAATAACAAAATTATCGGTGGAAAGAGAAGAATAAAAAATTGGTTAAGAGCAACGATATACCTCTTTTTTATACAGAGAATGATCCTAACTAGTGATGAAAGGCTTATCAAAATAATTCAAATAATATAGCGTTGCTATATCAAATTTAGCAATTATAATAAGTAGTGTAATTGTCAAAAAATGGGAGCAATTTAATCTACTGATCGTACTGAAAGCATCGAGCACCAAGAATAAAGTTCAGATTTATTTTTAACATATTACGCAGACCTGATTCCGGGAAATTGTACGGTCATAGGAAGTTGAACCTGAAGCTTCATGAAAAATATCACTATGTACGGTGCATACTTAATAAGTTGCATTTCTATCATTTTCAAATAACGTTCTTTTTTTCTAACATATCCATCATTTTTGTTGCCAGTTCCTTTTTGATTATTTTTAATATTTCAGTACACTTTTTCCATCTTTTTCTTTTAACGTTTCCAATTTTCTTCTTCTACCTTTAAATAAAAAATTAACCATTACTGAACATTCCATTTCCAGCTTTCCAAATGAATTTTCAAGTCATCGGTTTAATATCAACTTGCTTTGTACAAAATTTATATTTTTATCTATCTTGTTTTACAATCATATTCTGTTTTGATGCTATCGCTCTCTTATCTTTCAGTTATCTACTCGAAATAACAAACAAATTCTAGTGAATCGTTACGTCAAGCGACGATTTGATATATTTCGACCCTGAACTGGAAAAATCGATTTTACCAAGAAGCTAAGACAGCAGCGAACGAAAACGGATGAAAAGGAAATGGCTTAGAGACCAAGTTGAGATATAATTGTTTGATGGGCGCGTACCACATTGTCTAGTTATGCCAATTGTCGATTCAAATCGAACGACCTATGTTGTTCAATTGATGATTATTGAATAGCAATGATTACTAAATAAAGCCCTGGATTAATCGCAATTAAGCTGGAAAACTCACGTATCTGTTATTTGTATTGCCATAAATTTATATTTTATTAAACGTTTATACCTGAATTTACAGAATCCCAGAAATAAATTTTGAATATTAAAAAGATTGCACTTTTTGATTTTTTGGGGTACGAGATAATATAGATTACTTCAGTATCAAATTGATATTATACAGTTATCTTTCCCATACAACAAGGTCCTAAATTACTGTCCCAAGTAGAGGTATCAATTGATGCAAGGCCATTTGAACCAAGCCTAAGGTGTGCCTTATGCGACTGTAATTGAGGTTTCAGACCCTTATCTTCACAGATTCCGATCAATTTACACGTTGATACGACCAAACACAACAAATTATACCGTCTGCAATAAGTAATGCGCATTATACGCGCAAGTCAAGATCTAAAATAATTAAAAATTGTATATATCTTTATATATTTTGCTTAAAAATAGTTTTGGTTGAGTATTTAACATAGGTAACTTCTATTCCATGGACAACTAATGGTCACTAAATGCCATTTTCTTCAAAATTGTATACCTGCTTTGTACCTGACCATTTTGAACATCCTTTGAGGATAAGACATCTGGTTCCAACTAATATCAGTAGATAATATCTATTCTGGGTGTCAGTTAATTCATAGTAACATTAATGGCCACATTTTCAAAATTATTTTCATCCAATATATATTTATTAATATAGATGTCTTCGAGAAGTACTTTCTAGTTTCAATTATTTCTGTCGAAAATATTCTGTATCAGTGACGGCTTTTCTTTAGAAGAACCTTAGGAGTATTTCATTTGAAACGAACTTGAGACTTAAAAAAATTTCCATGATTAATGAAAAAATAGATTTTATAAATAAAAAAGAGCAGGACAAGGACATCGAAAAATGGACTCCTATAATAAAACACGACAGAGTAAGATCATAAAGAAAGACCAACGATTAAAAAAAAAAAACAGCATGAAGAAACCAAGAAATGGATTGTAGTAATAAATCAGTATGGTACGAGGACATATACAAGGACTATAAAAAAAGAGACGTCAGGAATAAAAAAAAGTAGGATTACAAAAATGGGATTTTAGCAATGTAAAAGAAGCATGGTAATACTGAAAGAAAAAAAGAAATATCAGCTATTGAGGAAACTGCACGGAAACTTCGGAATGAATACCAACACTAAGAATAGCTAGAGGCTTAGATTATGGAATTTAAAATAATCTGATCTATGATAAATAGATATTTTGCTGTTCGAAAAATCTTTCTATCCGAATGGTCATGTGTTTCTGTTAGTTTAGATATTAAGCATATTCTATGGTACAATGTTATATTAACCCAGTTCAACAGTCACCTAATCCTAGATTACGAAAATAGAGAATGCTATAAGGTTTACGTAATACATGTTGCTCGATGATGCATCTTAATTACCCCACAGGAATAATTTTATTATTCATGTGTTCTTTCTTTACACGCGTCGTGTTACGTGACTTACTACCCTGAGATCGTTTGTTCTTTGCGTATACTAGTAAAGGAATATTCCCAGACTTATTATTCCACGTATTTAATAGTATTAGAAATTGAAAAACATTTTGAAGGAAACACACAAGACATATGTCGAAATTCGAATATTTCTCGTTGTCGAATGAAAAGTAGTGTCTCACGAAGCTGAAATTTTGTGATTACTTTCTATATTTAGAATATATTGAATTGAATAAAATTAATAAAATTAACTTTTCTTAATTTTGCTTATAGTTACAAGCAGAATTATATTCTTTCCGATCCATTTAGGATTTTAATTTCTTGAGAAACTGTCCAGTTTTTATAGGTATATTAGATAATTCCATGCGTTTGCTACGTAACAACAGAGCTCAGTTTTTCTAAAATTAGAAATGATTAAAATCGATGGAATAAAATTTCTTTCGAAGGAATTTCTAGACGATACGAAATATACGAAATAGAACATCATATACAAAATTAATGTAATTCATAAACGTTCACCGTATTTCATTTTCAGCCTCATTTCTTTCTCCATTAAACGAAAATAAATTTGTTTTACGAATCACACATTGTCGTAAGATAGTAACATAGCTGAGAAATGATTTCAGAAGAAAATATGGACAAGGTATCACGTGAATCGATGCTTACGAACAATGACTAACGAACGCAATTAGCTCAATTAGCTCATTGCAGTCGCAGTTCATTTCTGATCTGGAGCTCGCTGATGAACTTGCGTCACAAACGTGGTCAAACAATCCTAAACGAGGAATTACGACCATACATCCACTTTTAAGTAATTTGAATTTATAGCCTCGTATTGTTAACATCGATATAAATTAATAATAAATCAAGTTAAACGTTGACGTCTCTTTAAAATGTGACACACTAGCTTTTGTGTTTCCACAGAAACCTTTTTGTATGTACATAATACTAATTACAACGAAGGCTGCTGCACTTCGCTAATTGAAGGAACTGTTTCACACGAGAGGCTGACTATGGTGAAACGCAGAAACCGTTTTCCTTTCTTAAATAGCATTGCTAATATGCTTCTTGGTAAATGGCACACAGATGCAAATGGTCATTCTGTAAAATTCGTTATTTTAGAATTTTTATTTATCATATGATAATTATTCATTGTAATCAAAATATTTCTACGAATTTTTTCATCTCTTTCGCGTTAATCAGTTGTAGATATTTAGAAATACTTACATTTGAGAAAACAAATGATATTTTCAAAGATAAAAATAGATTGATGGCTCACCGATATCGACGAGCTTGATGGTGACATTTAAACTGATAATAACACAAATAATTAGCTATGTATAGTGTTTAAAAGTGACTGCTGCGATTCCTTAAGTATGTGGTAATCCTTATAACTGTCGTCAGTCTTGACACGTGGTATGCATATTATGACGATAAATAATGAAATATGACAACATGTACTCTTGATGTTTTAACAAGTTTGAACTATGGCAAAGCTAAAAAGTTACCCTTTTAATAGAATATACGAAGAATTGGTAAAAAATGGAAAAATGACTGAGATATATCGAAGAACACAATGAGAAGATCGTAAAGAGTTGAACCAAGAATACGCAAATACGCTAACGCGCAAATGTAAAGTAATTTCAGAAATATTTCAGGATTATTTCGTCAAAAGACGAAGTTTAAAAAAAGAAGGAAAAGAAACGAAAATTGACTCGAGAAGATTAAGCGATGTCACAGAAAATCTGGCAATATTTTGGCTTTCTCCCAATAGCACAGATGCTACAAAATTCAGGCAAGTATTTTTAGGATCTCGGGCGATAGGATGAAATCACTTAATAAATCTTTCGTCCAAGAAAACTTTGCTCTTCGAATATCTTCCTCTTTCTCCTTTCGTGTTTAAGATTGGACTACAAAAAAAAAGAAAAATTTTTTTTTAGACTTAAATTGTAGCGAATGTTACGAGTAACATCGTTATAAGAAACAGCCTACTGTATTCTCGTGAAACTTAATGACCAGTATAAATATGGTGGGCTAACTGCGGTCGAGATTTATCGATCAGAATTTCAGTTTCGCGTGTCACGTAACTGGAACAGCCTTTTGTCAATGTCTGATCGTGCACTGATTTCGTTTAAGGATTTCATGCAAATTTTTATGGTGTGCAATCGATATTTTGAACGAGTAACTTATGACCGAGTAATACATTTTTAATCCCAGATAAATTAAAACACGAAAGTAAAAAATTAAATAAAATGGGCTTAATTTGAGAAAGAATTATTCTTTTGAATTGAATAATTTTGTTCAATAATTTTGATAACTTTATAAATAATTAAATTGAAGAAGAAATGTTTGATACGTTGTTAATAATTTAAAAAGTAACTCATATTTTATAAAAAAGAAGTACAAAACATTCCAAAGGAATATAGAATTAATGGAAAGAGATTTGTATTCTCCTCAATTTTCTTAACATAAAAATTTGCTCCAAAGCTTTCTAATATTCTCAATATTATGAAAGATGAGTAAACGTACAAATCCATACAAAAGGGAAAAAATTGAACAGATTGATACACAGGAAAGCCGAGAATACGTTAGTGTAAGACGAGCCGCATTAGAATTCGATGTAAATCAGTCGCAAATTAACTTGACTTTGTCCAAGTTGTCCTTTCATTTAAAACGAGGGAACTCTTGAAATGATTGCAAATTAACCTGTCAGATACGGCCATTAATAGAGCTAGAAAAAGCATCTCCATTTTAAATCACCCCGAACAGATCGCGCGATTTTATGATTTACACAGTACGTGGTCATAAAAATTTAAGTATCAAGAAAATTGCGCTATTATAAGAAAATTGACCTGATCACTCCACCATTCTTTTATACCGTTTGTCATTATTTTTCCATAATACATTGCAGCTCAAGACACAGATTAAGAAGCTTAACATTATCTTTCATATAGATCCATACAGATTAAAGCATATTAAGTTTTCTACCATTTAAAGATACGTCAATGTAATTACAATATCAATGTTGGTAGAAATGGTGTGCAGAGTCTATTGAAAAATCTCTTCGTTGAAAGCACATGGAAATCTACATGGTTTTTAATAATAGGTACATCTAGTATAACACAGAGAAAGTCTACTGAAACACACAAACGCATAGTCAGAGGTAGCCTTGACTACTAAAAAGAAGAATAACTTTTAAAAGACTTATCTTCGCTTCTTACGAAACTAAACTTCTGTTTTGAAACCTTGAATACATTTCGCATTTTTACTGACTCTAAAACGAATCACGTGTTACATTTACAAACGTAAGCTACTTCACGAGATGGAATACATTTTTCAGAGGATTGTTTGGGCATTATGCGCTGTTTACAGCCCCCATCGAGTTTCTATTTTTACATCCGAAAAGGTTCTCATTTCCCAAGCAATCGAACTTCTAATTTCTCCGGTTCTCGAGTCCAATCTAACTCTTCCTAGCTCTCTTAAAAACATTCAAATTTCTTCCATGGAAGTTTCTTCTCCTCTGCCTAAAAAGAAAAGAAAAAAAGACAGAAGGATAAGATTAAAATCTCGATATATCGAGTCGTAACTTTAGAAAATTGAAAAGTTCGTTTAGAGCGAAATAAAAAATGGTTTCATATACCAAAGAATCCGCAGCAAGGAAACGGAAGAAATTTTTGGTGGTTGAGAATCTCTGGTATCCGTGACTCGAGCTCGTGGCACCAGTTACCACGAAATACACTAAAGAACACGTTTAAGCATAGTATGCCTCTAGATTTTACGATTCCACCTTCCAAGTAATGCACGGAAGTGCCAATCGATACTTCCATAATTACCAGCAAGCACGAAGGAACTGTAAAAGTGCAGGGAAGAGAAAGAAGAGAAACTATAACTGGATCGTTTTTCAAGGAATAGATTGTCACTGGATGAATTACGATATTTAATCCCGAATCACCTCGGGAATACAAAGATACCTGTTTCACGAGATGAAAAAGTGGAAAAAAGGAATTATTAACATTATTGCAACGATCGTAATTTCTTAATTGCATAGTCTGGATCAGTGATTTTTATAGGGTGCTGTGGCACACTAATATTCTTGATATTTTTAAAACATGCAATAACTGTCATATGCAGTAGAAAATACTATTCTTTTTTATAATCAAAATGACATTTTATGTAACAATAGTTGTTTCATATAAACCAAAATTATATCTTTTTCTCTTACAATAATCTATAATAATGATTTATATATATAATCTGTTAGCAATTATATTTTTCTGTGCTACAGAATTTGAATAACTAGTTTATACGTATCATTGATCTAGACTTAATTTAATTTATTGTAATTACATACTTAATTTTCCGACTACCTCGAGCAATATTGCGGATTTCTTTCTTTACGATTAAACAAATATGAGCCTTCTTTATTTTTGTTTTTATCCAATGGAAACTTTGTGCTTGAAAAATTGATAGGAATTTCAAGCTGTGTAACATTATTTGATAGTAGTAGTGTAAAAATAAAAATACCGATTTCTTCGCAGAAGACAAGTTTGGTTTCGTGTGAGAGATAACTCTTTGTGAAAGTCATCGTTTTTTACATCATAAAAAAACGGCTATGGTTACAAGCTTCTTATTTCATATTATATTACATAATATTTTATCCTTCGAGTTATTCATAGAATAATCTTCATCATGTAACATTGTGTACTTTTTAAAACCCAATGTGCACGTGATTCGCGAAATTCTTGGAATATCCGGTCAAATATCCTCGTTGAAAGTAGAATAGGTTGGCACTGCATCGTAAAATGTGATACAACTTCCATGATAATAATGCTTTGAAAATAAAAATCTTTCCGTTATATATATTTTAAAATATATATATTATAGATATTTTCTCGTATTTTAACGAAACAAATTGCTAAAAGAAAAGAAAAGAATATTAAATGATTACTGTAATCGGGTGTTGAGTATTCTTATCGTTATGTCACGTGTGCTTCCGCTTGTCAGTAGCAATGACAAAAAATCCAACGGTAATCGCCAGTGTAAAATAACACTTACCGACTTTTGTTTTCCCGCGAATCGATCAAGCATAATGGAAGGAATCGATCACTCGAATTGGAACGAAAAAGGTCGTAAGATCAATGAAACCCGAAACCTGGCCTGCTAAATTATAAGCGTCATGTAGGTCAGTGAATCGTAGCACGAAATGATCATACATGAGTTATACGTTATGCTATGGTGGTCACGTATTATACATCCGTAAGGAAAAGAAAAAACGGTTAAGACATCGTCCATCTTTGTCTAGTCGATACCTTTAAACGTCAACCGCTTTACATTTGTCGTTGATAAAATTTGTTAATAAAATGACATTCGAATTTTTCTTTTCCTATGACGTAATTTCTAATTTTATTTCATTTGTTCTTTTACATTTGTATTATCTTCACGATATTCGGCATTGTATATGCGTTTGAAGCGGGAAGATTTACATACCAAGATTAACAAGCGACGCCATGATAAGCGTTTTTATCGTGGAACGTATCCACTTCGAGAAATATACATATATATATATATCGCGACACATCAAGCGACAATTAGATTCGTACGTTATACTTCACTGATACGCAGAATTATTTCTTGTCTTTACGCTATTAATATATTCAAATAGCTACTTATTTTATTAACTTCGTGTACTTAACTTCGTGTTGTTTAATCACATTTATCAAAGAACCAGTAAGGAGCAAACTATCACTTTGGGCACAAGTTTTCTCGTGATTAAAAGCAGTTCGATCGAACTATCGATTGTAACGGATTGCGCATGTCAGCGTAACGATTCGATCATCGACACCGGTTGCTTGAATTTTTATAAAGAATCGAAATTCTTTCGTATAATATATCCCAAAAAATTTAAGGATTATATATGATACTTAAGATACGTTCAAAGTTATTTGACTTACGTAAGTGAGTTTAGATGACGAATTGCTACCGTAAGTGAAACAGGTGCGAAGATTTAATTTTGTTCACCTCTCAGCTTCGGTTGAAGTAGTCCAAACTGTACACGTTATTAATATACACTGTTTTCGACACTAATTTAGGCAACTAAAAAGAGAGTACACAAACAACACCACATATAGCATAAAACACAATTCGCAAAAAAACGCGGAACCATCCAACCACATCGGAGTTCGCCGGGCGACTGTGGCGAACTACAATGCGGTCGGACTTGTTCGACAAACTTCGCACACTTTCGAACGACGCGGCAAACTTCGCGCCTCTTGTCGCGTCCTACTTCCTACGCATGCGATTCGTCCACGTATAGCGGCTAATTTAAACATAAATGTCATTGTTATATTTGCAGATTCAATTTTATTTTTTATAATATTATATCTAGAATAAATTCAAATGAAACATACGATTGATGAAGCTCCAAATAATCTTCCAATAATGAATTGAAACTTATTGTATGATTTTGCAAATTCTACAAATAAAAAAATTGTTTTATCTTTTATTACTATTGAAAACGTAGAAAATAAATAAAAAATTTATTTCTATCATGCAATATTGCAGTAATAAATATGCGTGCTGACTAATGCTAATTGAATGTATATATTACTAGTACAGGTTTACAATTTACGTAGGCGTTACTGGAACGTGTATAGAAAGTCATAAAAGAAAAAATTCAATATGTAGGTAAAGCTTATTCTAAATGAAACAGAGATTATCTATTATCTCATTTGTTCATAGTTATTTTGAAGAAACTGTTTTCGTTGTATCAATAATTAATTAATTTTAGCAAATTGCTTAATGAGTGATTTTATTAAAATTACATGAATGCTTATCATGAAATGTTAAATATGTAGGTATACTATATAAGAATAACAATTTTTTTAATTTACAAACGTGCGTTTTTGAAAAATTTCTTATTGCAAAAATACATATACCTTTATAAAATGAGTATATCGTTCAAAAAATATGTAAAATGATTTTCTATGAAATTTCAGCTTAAAATTGTCTATTAAAGCAGACGTTTTCTTTGCAATTGTAACTTTAACATTGATAACATGGAAACCAAGACGGGCTAATCTTTCTCAGTCATCGGCTATCGCGTTAATGAATAGGAAAAAAGGAAAGTATAGTAACGCAAACAAATATGATATCGTACTTCGTTGAACAACGCGTGTATGTATTTCCATCGGTGACGATGACATGACATCGCGGGTTCTGCATAATAATAATATTGCATCGCTAATAATAAAAAGAGAAACAGAAAATATCTTGTTGGTATAATAACTGTACTCCAATCAGTATCGAGAATATTACATTTTTCATTGTTTTTCAAAATTAACGCTTATATACTTTTTATATACTCCGACAACTGTCGGAGACTTGTAATGAAACATTAACAACGTTCTGTCACCATTATTTTTAATGGCCAATTCACTTTGGGCAAAGAAGTAATAAAGATATACATCTCAAACAACATCCTTTATCCTAACATGATTTAAAGGGGTAGAGAAAACACTACCCTTATCTTGCACTCTATCTCGATTGAGTTCTCCACCGATCGTATCGAATCAATTTGATAAGATATGTGTTATCACGGCCAATTTGCTTTTGACGCAACACTTATGATGACCCGATTGCTGATAAATAGTAGCAAATCACAAAAGCACAGCAAATTCATTTTTGTAATAATAAAATCAAAACCAAAAAGTTATAAAAGACGCAAAGGTTACTTATATTGCAACATTTACATTGCAATCTTTGAATGACAATTTTATTCTTAATTTGATAATAATATAAATATTTAAGAAACATGATTGTACCTTTTAGAATGATAAAATGGATAATAGAGGCAAGATGGAACCGTGAATCTGTTGAAATCATTCATACTTTATTACGATATTATTCATGCATTGTACGTGTGAATAATGAAGACGCCTTTCAACAGCATCCAACCAAATGAGACTGTCGATTGAAAGTAATTATCAAATGATCCCGATGCTGAATGATATAGAAAGTTCATTGTATACGAATCTTTTATCATTTAACAAGCCAATCGACCCAATAACGTAACTCGAATAACTTAATTGATAATCGTAATATACCTTATTTACTTGTCCATCATTTTGTACTCTATAGTGAAAAATCTTTCCACACGTGAAATTTAATACTAAAATCAATCATTTTCGTTTCCTTTAAGCTATAATAAGATCGTGATGGACTGTATAAAAATGTCTTAATATACTTTTTATTTGGCTGTATATTTGGTGAATATTTTGATCCTTGTTATAATCGAATTACAATGTGTCGTGATCCATCTTAATGGAACAATTCGCCATGCGACCTATTTACATTGTCTTGGCTCAAGTGCACGCAGCTGTACTAAACTGCAATTTCTATTGTTGATTACACCTCGAACGATATCATGATGAAAGAAAATTTTGAAACGGCACTGAAACTCTTAGAAAATATTACAAGAATTATTAGAAAGTGAATATTATAAAGCAAATATTACAAATTAAATATTTCGTCTTTTAAACAATGCCAAAAAGAAAAAATTTAATAATCGTAAATTAATGTCACAATTTGAATAATAAAATAAATATTACTTCATAAAATACTATTTATTATAAAATACAATATATTTTACCGGAATTTTTAAATTATTTTCAATATTATGTACAACAGAAAAATTTGTTAACTTCTGACTTTACTTCAGTGTAAATCACAAATTAATTCTCATAGAAATTTTAAAGATTTTTTCTTTGATAACAAAAGTTTAAAAAAAGAATTTCTTACCATAAACAACAAGTGTAATTAAAGGCCTCCTTTTATTCGTTGTTACTTATATTTCTTAACATTTAGTTGACTTTTAATTATTCAAGTAACGGTTGATTTGTAATTATTCAAGAATAAAATAATCTTGGATTATTTCACATAGCATAAAAATTGTTATCTCTTCAAAATGATCCTGAAAAAAAATTATTTTTAATTACATGATAATTAAGTTATTCTACAACGATTGTATATGACAATTAAATGGTTGTGTATAATATGTCCTAATAAAAATATTCACACATGGATAAATTCTAATGGATGCGTGAAACGCGATGATATCGGTCGTAGTGCAGTAATTGTTATGTAACACCGGCAGAAATTGAGACTCGGCTCGTGTATGCATGATACGTGACTGTGTTGATGTATGAACGACTAGCTATGCAAATTTAACTGCAGGAAGATCCGTTTGTTAAACGTTTCGAAGACCTTGTGCTAACCTACGCAAATTTTTTAAACTCTGTGATAAGTGTACCTGAAAAAAGATCCAACTGTAATGTGATTCTAACCTCAGTTTCTAACAATAAAAATAAATTTCATTTGTTTGTCTTCTTTTCATATTATACTTATAATTTATATTATTTATTTGAAATCTTATTTTATGAATCACTACAAAATTAATTGACACTCAAAATACTGCATCTTTTTTTGAAAATTTACTTTACTTTAATTTAAATTTGAAAATAAGTATACAGTTTACCTCTAGATGCCACTATAGTTCAAGAATAAGTTCAAAAAAAATAAGAAATTATTGAAACATTGAAAATATTGGAGAATTACAAAAACTTCTAGAATAAAATGAATTTTAGAGCAAACTGTTTCATGTTAACTTATTAGTTAATTAAATTAGTATATTTTCTTATTTTAGTTTCAGTCTATTTTGTATATAATTACATTATTAAACAAATAGACTTATATAAATATCTTGTTTTATTTTACACCATTTTTTTTTCAATATTATTTGATAAAAAAAACATTTGTTGTTTCTCTAAAACATTTTTAAAGCACTTTTTTTAATATTGTATTAGATACATGTGAATGTATCTATATAACGAACGGATTTAAGCAACACAGTATAACCAATATATTAAGCAGAACAAAAATTGTCTCTAACAAAAAGATTAAATTATACAGTTAAGTACTTACCTTATTCATAAATCTGTTTTAGGTTAAAAAAATTGTACATAAAGTAAAATACAATATAGTATTTAGCTTTAAATATCCAATTGTGTAGTATTAACCTCATACATACTATACGAATAATTGCTTCTGATACTTTTAGGATATCATTTCAACAACTTTGTGAAAATGGAAAAGTGGATATGCGAAAATTTATCTGAAATTTTAGACCATCCAGTATCAGAGGATTTAGCACAGTAAGAGAATTTGAAAATATAATATCTATTGTAGCAAAATAAAATAATAATATTCATTTGATGTTAATATTATATGACGTAAATATTATGTATTATAAATATTTCAGATATATAATGGAAATACAAGATGAAGCAGACTTAGACAATTATTTCCATACTTTTTTAAATTTTACTAATGTAAAACACAAACAGTTTTTTATAGAGTTGAAAAAACGACGAGGTTTATATATTTAGTATTCATACAAATTATTAAGTTAATTAATTTTTTAGCACTTTATATATTGTAATATGTAAAATTATTTCAGCTTCAATAAAAGATCAAGCTAAACACAAAAATGTAGATGATACAGATGCTATGAAAAAAAAACAAAATGGAAAGAAGAAAGGAAAAGTAAAAACAAAGGAAAGCAAAGAAGCTAAGCAGGTATATTAATATATTGTTTGAGTTCTTTCATTTTAGACCTGGATTTAGATGAAAACTGAATTATTTAGGTGCAAGAAATTGTAAAAATGGAGAAAAAGAAACCTAAATTTGTTAATTTATATTCTCAACAAGGCAAGGATAGAGCAACAATTTTATTGAAAGGTATTTTATATCTTAAAATACTATAAATGAGTATGCAACAGCAGTATTAAAAATAATATAAAAATATTTTATTAGGTAGACACAAATGTAATTGTGAAGCAAAGACACATACATTAATCAATAATTGTCTGAACTGTGGTAGAATAGTTTGCGCTCAAGAAGGAGCAGGTCCTTGCCTTTTTTGTGAAGAACTTGTATGTTCCTTAAAAGAGCAAAGCATTCTTTCTAGTAATACTAAACAAGCTGGTCAATTATACAATAAACTGATGAACCAAAAGCCTAATAAAAATCTGGAAGAATCAATAAAACAAAGAGACAAACTTCTAGAATATGATCGCAATGGGTATATATTATGTAATATTTTCATGTACAGATAAGATTATAACTATGTTCATTTGCAGAGTACAATGTACAAAAGTAATTGATGATGAATGTGATTATTATCAATCAAATAATGTGTGGTTAACAACCAAGCATAGAGAAAAATTACAAAAATTAGAAGAAGAGATAAATGAAAGAAAACGTATGTCTCGATTAAATAGAAAAATCTGTGCAACCTTCGATTTTACAGGTAGAGAAGTAATTGAAGAGGATCCAGTTGAAAATTTTGATGAATTTATTGAAGAACAATTACAAGATATTCCTAAATCATTGAATGAAATTATAACTAGTAATATTTGTTCAAATATAGAATATAATCGTCCAATGGTAAAAATATTATTATAAAGGTGTTAAATATAATAGATAACATTGTTATGTAAACAAAAAGTAATATTGAGATATTATTGTACAGTATATAGAATCAGATGAACCTGAATTCCAAACTTCAAAAGTAAACATTTCTTCAAAGATAAGAAATATTATTCAAGACAAAGAATATTTAGAAATGTCAGATCCTGGTTTATGTTTAAGTATGCATCAACCTTATGCATCTTTATTAGTGGCTGGAATAAAAATGTAAAATCATAATTTTTTTAAGTACATTAATATTTATTGCATTATACTTTTTAATATTTAATTACTATTACAGTCATGAAGGTCGTACATGGTACTCGTCACATAGAGGAAGATTATGGATTGCTGCAACATCTAAAACGCCAACTAGGGAAGAAATTTCAAGTGTAGAACAGTACTATCGAGTTTTAAAAGATGGTTAGCATAAATTAACTTTATGAATATAAAATGAGTTTTGATTTTAATTATAAGTATAATATAAAGTGCTATAGTATATATTTATTATTATATGTATTAATTGTTTATAATCACTTGTATTAATACTTTACAGAAAAACTTAAATTCCCTGAAATTTATTCAACTAGTTGTTTATTAGGATGTGTAACAGTTGTCGATGTTTTACCTCAAGAAGAATACAGAAAATTTTATCCAGAAGGGGAGAGTGATAGTCCTTTTGTGTTTATATGCGAAAATTTTTTGACATTACCAATTAAATTTCCAATACAAGGAAAACATAAAATTTGTAAGTATTTCGTTCATATTAATTGTTATATATTTTTGATGAAATATAATTTTAATGAATTTTATTACAATTTGTAGACAAACTAGACCAAAAAATTCATTATGCTGCTTTAAAAATGTTAGACAAATTTTTAAAAAATATACATTAAATAAGTAAACGTAAAACAATATTTTTTATCATTATAAATAAGCAGTTTAATATTTAATTAATGTATAAATATTAATATTACATACTTTTAATATATCAATGCTAAAAAATAAAATACATATTTTGCGCAATCTATATTAAATAGTATTTATTATTTGTACATAATAGAATATATTACAATGTACATATAGTTTGCAATATATTACAATAACTATTATAAGACATACATATATCTTTTTTACATTAATCATTTATTGTGTTGTCCACTTATTCCTTTTACGTGCATTCAATGAAAAAATATTAGCTGTTTTCTCTTATTTCAGTTAAAATATCAGACTTTCATAAACTTTAAAAGTAGATTTCAGTAAAGTCATTTTTATATTCAAACAGTCTATACATTTGAAGTACAAAGGGAACATTTTTCATAGAAATATAACGTTATAAAGTTTATTATCTTCTTATAAATTTTGAAATTTATACTTGAAAATGTTTCAAAAATAATAACAAGGAATTTCGTTTATTAGCTTATAAAACCAAAAGAAATATTTACAATTGGAAATATTGGAGAAGAAATTATAAATTCATATTAAATGTTTAAAACAATTATAACATTATCTATAGCATTATAATAATTTATATTTTGTTAAAATTTCTGCAACATGTCATTTATTTTCTGTAACAGTTTTAACAAATTAAAAGTATTGAAAACAAAACTTTGTACTTACAAACAAATCCAGAATTAAATAAAGCTATAACACCATTATATATAATGAAAGAGCACTCAATTTATCGTAAATATTGATATATAAAGATTATAATATGTATTACTTAAAATAAGTTTGTATTGGTTCAATTAAAATAAAAATAAAATTTCAAAAATAATGTATATTAAATAGTATGCCATGAAATGATGCATTGGGAATGTATAAATAAATATCAAACTACATCAAATAGATTTTGGTATAAAATTAATAATTGTACAATACAATTTTTAAATTGAAATAATTGAAACATATCAACAAGATATATAGATTCAAATTACATATTTATTAAATCTGCATATTGTGCAATCTATTAATTATCATGTAATTTACATTTGTCTTCTAAAGGTACACAAATATTATAACTCTACAATATTGTTCAAATAACAAAAAATTATCGAAATAAAAATACCTGTAACTAATATTTCTCATTATTTAGAATCATATTTACAATATTTATCAAATTTTAATTTATTCATCTTTGTAGGAATAATTATTTTTATGATCAGTGATACATAAATTAGCATTAGAAAAAGAAAAATATTATTAATATCTCCTTCCTTAGTTTAGATATAATGTCTCTACAATCATATGTCTACACATTTTTTGCATTTTTTTAAACGATTAATATCTTTTTAATTCTTGTCTAATTTTAATAAAAATTAAAAAAAAAAAAAGAAAGAAAGAATGAGTTATAATTTTGTATTTTGTGGATGTGTATGTGTGTATGCGCGCATATGTGTATTGTAACAATCCACATTAACATCTTTTTTTTAAATAACATTCCAATATATTCAACATATTTTTTTAAATATGAATTTTTTGAATTTCTGTTATGGATACAATGTATGTATATACTGTATGTATGTGTATATATATATTGTAGAATAAATAATTTTTATATAACTCTTGGTACTAACTACTTAGGCTGTCAAATATTAATAATAATTCTTTATTAATCCAATTTTCAAACATGTGTAGATACTGTCAAAATGAATCAAAAATTAAATTTTTAATGAGAAGTGAGATTAATTAGTATAAAGTCCTTAAAGAGAACAAATCAAATTTTGTAAAAAATTACATTAAAATATATACATATAACAATAAAAAGAAAATAATTGTATATAATAAATAAAAAATATTTGGAAACACAGATCTGTATTTGATTTGAATTGATATAAAATAGTATCCACCATGTACATTTGTATATTCTTTCCAAACAAGTAATAGGCCACCACAGTACTATTATAATACTAATGTATCCATATCACAAATATACTCAAACAACTTTAAATAAATAATTTTATATTTCCATTATATACTTTAAGAAATTCTAAATTCGATTAATACGATAATACTCTTTAAAATTTTTCTCTAAATAAAGCAATAAAAAAAAATTGTTACTACTTACATTAGCTTATACCAGCATTATAAGTATAAACATTTTTTTTTAAACACTTTGTATCTTAAGTTATAATATATGAAACTTCCGTTTCCGTTGATTAAAATAAATGTATTTTTAGAATTTCGTGCGTGTTTTTTTGATTGTTGCAAAGAAAATATTGAAAAATCTTCAATATTATTTCAAATAAAGAAATTAACTTTTAATTTTATGCAAATTATACTGTAGGTAAACGATATACTTTTTAATACTTAGAAGAAACTAAAGCGTCCAAATAACTATTTCATATGTTACAATCTAATGCTACTATTAAAATGATATTGAGTGTGCAGAAGATGTACTTACCATTTCTTTTTTCAATTTCAGACATGGAAAATTATGCAATGATATTTGTTTCAAATAGTAAAATATCTAAATATAAGTAGGTGAATCTTTTAAACTGATACCACAAGCATCACAGATTGAGACATTCTTCTCATTTACTAATGTACATCGTGGACATTCTTTTCCACCACTTGCTAATGGTTTATCCTCGTTTCCTTTGTGCCTAGACTTTCCACACATCTCGCAAATTTCTTTCGACGAAAAATTCAGATATGTGCAAGTAGCACAATTCCAATTCATACTTTTATCTTCTGTTTCATCTTCTTTTTCCGTATGAGAAAGTTCGAAGTTCTTTAACGTATCTGCAATTTTTACAATTTGATCGGACGACCGATGAGAACGTTGAATTGGAAGCGTTTGACTACCGTGTCTTTTTTCTTTATTATGGTGAGATAAATGACTTTCTGAAGATGCATCGTGATATCTATTAGAATCCATTAGGTCGAAAGAAAAAGATTTTTTTTTAAGAGGTAATGTATCATGATGATGTCGACCATTTGTCATAGACAAATCAATTTCATTCGTATCGATTCTTCCACTTTTTCTTTTTTCAAAACGATGTGTATTAAATCTTTCATCCTTATCATTTTGTTTAAATGATTTTTGTTTATTCAAGCGAGAATCACACTCCCGTTTATGTAAAATATCTTCTCGATCACCAAGATCCTTAGAATAGCCTAAACTTTCTAAATTTCTATAGACGAAATCCCACGAGTCATCACTATTTCTTTCACCAACCGATCTTGCGGATTTTTTATCAATTTTTCCGTAATCGTAATGATCTCCATCACTGGATTGTCTTCTATAAAAATCTACTTCTTCCAAATCTGATATTCGATGGGACATTTTCCGATTGTGTAATTTATCGTAATTTGCAACCGAAACCGGCATATCAAGCTCAATTAATCTACCTGTTGGTACTCTTGTATATCCAGGCATCGTAGTATAATAAGGATTAACTGTGCTCAAATATTTATTACCATGTGCTAAACATCCATAGGCACTAGATCGATTACTAAAGCCATGATCCACTGGTTGAAAGTATTTATAAGTTCCAGGTATTGAGTTCGTATCTTCAATATATCTGTATTCAGATTGACAAATAGGCATTGACATGTTATAAGTGGGAGACATAATGTGATAAGGAACTGACGGTGATGCTGCATCTACACAGATAGGTTGTGAATAATGATAGTCTCTGTAATTTTCCGTTTTTGTTCGGTTTTGATGGACTTTCTCAAGGAAACGATAATTTAATGCTCTAATTGCTTGTTCTGGTGTACCAACATGGTTTTCCCGAAATTCTAATACTTCTAACCATGAGATGCTATAATTCTGTGAAACGTTCTCCCATATTTGCTTCAAGATCTACATTAAAAATTGCAACTTTTCTATTTAAACATGTCTTCATAAAAATATATATATATACAAATATATTATAAAAATTGTATTACCTGACATTCAACAAAAGCAACTATTGCATCTCTGCTTACACTAGATACTTTATCAGGATCAATAGGACCCTCCAAAGTGAGCACACCTAACCCTGTATGTTTGTATCCCATTTGTTCAAACATTAATTCTGCTCCTATTAAATTTGCTTCTACCTCATGTTTATAATATCCGCTATAAGTCTAATATGAAAAAGAAAACTAATTAATCCAATAATATAAGAAAATAATGGAAAAGAATATAAAAAATATTAACCCTTAATGTTCTATATTCTCTTCTCCAAGGCTGAGCTAAAAGATTAGCAGCATACAAAGAAATAGCACTCCAGGCAGTTGTAGCTCTATATCCACTAAAATCTTGCAATGTGGCTGCTGATCTATGTAATATATCTGCAGTTTCTTGAAATACATATTTATTTTCATTTGGAACAAGACAGAGATACTCTTTAATAAAGCCTAAAATTAAAGAAAAGATTAATAAAAATTAAGCAATTAATTATTACATTTATTAATCGTATATTTACCTTCAAGTTTATGACGTTGTTGTAATTTTAAAGGACTGTCATCTGTTTGTAGATAAACCAAATGACTTTGCTCTAATTTCATACTAATTTCTTGTAATCTATCTTTGCCTCTTATTATTAAGTCATTTGCCATTTTTATCACTGTAAAAAGAAATACTTCTGTGTTCACTTGTATTTTCTATATTTCTATAAAATTGTTTAAGTTATTTTATACAAACAAAATATGTAAGAAAATAAATATTTTTCTATATGTTTATTGTGAAAAACTTAAAAATTTAAAAATCAAGAATTAATATTACTTAGGAATATGTACAAATACAAGATTAATAAAAAGCAAAAAGAAGACTAAAAATGTCATTTAGAAATAGAGATTTTTCACACCTATTACAAAATCGCCTAGAAATACAGTTTTAGATCAAATTCTTGATTTAAACTATGGCTAGCTCCAACCTAAAAATAAATCCTATATTTAGAAGCACTGCTACAGTGTTTATTCCAAGAGCTACCATAATATATTCTCTATTTGGCAAATACTCCATCTCAAGTACAAATGTTCATCGAAATTTTCATTATGTTTCAGAAACATATTATTCCACTTCATAAACAATAAATATTTTTCTCTACAACTTTTTTCTTGGTTATGTTCAAGTTATATCACAAGCATGAAATAAACACATACAAGAGAGTCAAACGTCGATATTAAAACTATATGTTGAATTAGCAGCATGATTTATATTCATCTGGAACTATCATTGATCTGATAAATGTTAAATTTAGTGAATGTTATTGTTTATATTAAATTTATATACAAATATTTTTATACTCCATATTACTGAATAACAATAATAATAATAATAACAAAAATAGAAAATGATGACAGATATGGAAGAAGCAGAAGCAAGGGAATTTCAATCACAAATTAAAAAACGTAATAGGTAACCTATTTCTAAATATTTATTTATCTTCTAATTGTTTATAAAATGTTACAAGCTACACATAATTTGCGTATTTATAATGTACTTTTGACTAATGTATTTTTGAATAACAATAATATATATCATTTTCTTTTTTTAATTTTATAGTGAAGATGATGGAATGGACTTTAAAGATGCCGTAAAGAAATTAGCTGAAGGATTTTTAAATCAGTATCAAGTACAATGGGAACAAACTGAAAAAAAACTTGATGAAGTAAGGTAAGTGAAATATATAAATATTTTTGGACTTTCTGATTTGTTGTATTTTTGTTTAAGGAATAAGCAGGAGACTTTACTCAATCAAATGCAAATTGAGAATAAAAAATTTCAAAATGTTTTTGACGATGTCAAGCTAAATGAAATGGTAAGTATTAATATTGAAATATAAATTTAATTATTTTATGATCTTCTATATGATTAAATGATGAATTTTACATAAATTTTGAATACAAAAGAATAGCATAAAACAAGATATACAATATAAAATTTGTAAGGAGAATATGTATTCCAGTTCCAAACAATTAAAGTTAGTCAAAGTAAATTAATTTTAATGAAAAAAGAAATGGCTTCCATTCATGAGAGAACATTTAGATTAAAAGTAAGTTGTAATTTATATTTTATATATTTCTAATCTATTCTTATTCGTGTAATACATCAATTATTTTCATTTAGAAACGAGCATTAAAATTACAACAAATGATACAAAAAGAAGCCTTGAATAGAGAACAACAACGAGAACAAGAAATTCGTCGGGAACAAGAATTAATTGGTAAACCAGTATTAGGTTAAAAAGAAATAATCTTCCAGAGAGGTAAACAGTATGAACAAAGATACATAGATGTATAAAAGCAGATTATAATTATACACACATCATTTACCATAAATTGTGTCTAAAATTGGTTATTTGACTTTATTATTTGATACAACTTATATAATTTTTGTACATTACCAAACAATTTCCCATTGTCCATTAGAGTCACATTTCTCAGTATCTTTACATAAATAATTAAATGTAGTTTTTGTAGGAAAACCAATGATTTCCCTATCTTCTTGTATTCTAAATGTAAATGTTGATTCAAATGTTCCTATAAAATATCTAAAAATGAATGCATGTGACGAATGTGTTATTCTTGTTCATAATATAAAAAATAAAATATATTGTTATTAATTCTTACCTAGCATAAGAACTAATTATTTGATCAATAATTGCAATTCCACCATCTTTAAATTTATTTAATACATAATCTGATGGAATAAATCTAAGAACTATATAATCAGATAGGTATCCTTTAAGTTCATTGAATTCTAGATAAGTTGATATTATGATTAATAGATATAGCTAAATATTAATCTAATATAAAAATTTAGAAATAATTTACCTTCCCATGTAGCATCTGTAGCAACAAATAGAAATTTTAATTTAAGTTCATATAACTTATTTTTTAACTGAAAAGCAGCCGATTTTATTGTTGGTATTGTTGAAGGACGACCAACTAAAAAATCGCGTCTTCTTAAATGAACTGATAAATAAGGTCCTCCAATTGCATTTCTTCTATTCTATAATTAAAAAATTTGTTTAACTTCTCTTATCCCTCTTTCTCAATTAGATAAAATTAGTTACCTGTTCCTTAGTCCAATCATCTGGTCGTTCTGTTTTATCACGCAGGTTTGTTGAATTAAGAAATTTTTTTCTATATTCATTAGCAATATCATACAATTCAAAATTATATCGCATACTGCGTCTAGCTTTCCAATATTCTCTTGTACCATAGAAATCATGTAATGCAATTTCTATGTGATCAAATATTACAGACCTATAATAATAATTGCATTAGTTTTTACAAAGTATTATATACGAAATTTGAATATTATTAAATAGATAATTTATTTTCTTACCTATAAACATTAGGTTTAAGATTTTGTTTAAGACCTGACATCATACCATGAAATTTAATACACTTAACAATTTTTGAAGTTATATTATGATATCCCCAAAAATTCCCAACATATTTTTCAGATTCTACTTTATAAAATTGTAACGATTTATCAGTACATTCTGTTACTTCATTCTTATCTTCAAATATACCAGTTTTGAACATTTCTTCATCATTTTGTAGAATATATATAATATCAAGATGTGTTTGATTACTTTCTGAAGGATACTCTACAAATTTTTATTTTTACCAACTCTGTTATTAGCAAAAAATAAACGAAATTTTATACCTTGCAAAAATTGGTGCATTTCAATAATTGGTACATATCTCTGTAAACTTAAAATATCAAAAAACAGACTCCAAGGCAGTTGTGTTTGAAATCCTATGTGCTTACTACGCCAATGATACAAATTACCTATAAAAAGGAGTAAATACAAATATAATGATTGAGGAACTATTATTGCATTATAAATTTACCCCATGGTGGCAAAACTAATTGCCATTTAAATTTTTCTTCTTGTTTAATTAAATTCTTTGTAAAAACCGCGATACGAATAAAAACATCTCTCCTAAGATTAAAACCTTCTACAGGATTAACATCATAGAGTATATAACTGAAAAATAATTACTTATATTAAAAATGTTAATTTTAATGCAATATGAATATGATAAAAAATGAAATAAAAGGTATAATAATGTATTCACACCGGTTACGTGAATAATGTAATTGAATGTTACATTTATTATTAGTTTCTTCATATCCATCTGACTTATCACAAAATTCATTTGCAACAGTAATCAGTGTAAAATTAATAGAGAATAACACAAAACACAATACTCTGAAAAATAACATTTTTCACATTTTGAGGTTATATTTAACATATACGATAGAGTAAGAACACTTCAATTTTTAAATTGATATACAAAATATTTTATATAATTAATTGAAAGTATTTATTAAAGTATATAATAAATAAATTTGGACTTTTATAAATTTATTAAAATCCTTTGTTATTTTCTTGAAAAAATAATATTTGCTTTTCTCAAAAAAGATTTTCTTCCTAAATAATAAGATTAAGGATAGTAAAAAACAACAGCAATAACAACAACATTGTACAGCTTGATTTTTGTTATACACGAATTACAGACTTAAATCTCCCTTATTTGAAAGTGGTTGATGGGTAGATTACAATTTGCTAATTCAGTTGATAATAATTATAATAATGATAATAATAATTATTATTTATCGTCTTATACAATATTTATAATTCATAGTTCAGTTAACATAGTTTATACCCTCCTTATATCAAGCAGGGCTGTTATGTTACATTTACTGTGACTCATTTCCCATACTTTTCCATTTATCCTATTAAAGTATACACTTGGCATATAAAAATTACAAGGACAATTTATATTGGTAATGATAGTAGCTGTAGTTGTAGTAATAGTTATGATAGTGGTAGCAGTAATGGTAATGTAGTAATAGTAATAATCATAGTAATAGCACTAGCAGCAGTAATGATAGCGATAATAATATTATCGTTATAATTATTTATTTGATAACTATGTTTTGTTATCATTCTTTTTTCATCATTTTAGTTTTTTCACACGTATACTTGCATGAAATCTCAGGTCCAATTTTTGGTTACTTAAGATTCCAGTATTTTGGGCACAGAAATTATCCATTGCCCTCCTCAAAATTTGTGCCTCGTTGTGATTTTTTAGATGTGTGCTGTTTTATAGTTTCTTTTCACATTTTGTTAGCAATGACGTTAACTGGTAGTAGAATTCTTAGCCTGCAAACATTGGTACATTTTATAATACTGAATTGTCATTATAATAAATATAACATGAAATTCATTTCTATTACACTAATTTCCTTCTTGTTTTGCATTTCTATATGAATTCTCTCTTGTTAACATCACAGCTAAAAAGGTGCTTTATGTTAACATGAAACACACTATTTTACATTTAATATAGGAAATGTGAAGTAGTATATAAGTTTAAAACTTAAAGAGGAAGGAATTACGCAAAAACCACACAGTGCAGTCATTCAAGTATTCTATATAGTATTATTTGAATAATTCTTCGTTTTTCCCTTACACACGCATTTAATTTTCATATTTGCCTCAATTTTATACATATGTGCGTATGCATATGTGTTTATGTATATATATATATATATACACACACACACACACACATACACACACACATACACAATCATATGTACATACAAATATATGTGTGTTTATATATATGAATGTACGACTATTTAAATTTCTATCAAAGGTTCATTATCCACAAAAATGAAATATAAAGTCTACATTTATGTTGCATCTATTCAACAAAAATTTCGATACTTTAAAGCAATAAATAGTAGTGCAAACTGGTTCGTAAAGGCTAAAAATGATACCTTTTATACTGTATAATTATAAAGCTATTTTGAATATAGAATATATAATTTAAGTAGTTTTAAAAATTTTATGACAAACAAATAAGTACAAATAATATAAAAAATTGATTTATAAGAATGACAACAAATTTAATTAAACATTTTATCAACATTTGTTTTGAAAATAATTAAAAAATTTATTTCTTTATGCATTGTGTATTATACTATACATACATGTATATAAAACACACACAAATATATGTATGTATAGTTTTATACTACTTCACATTTAGAAATACGTTTGACAATTACTCGCCTACTAGCACAATTGCAACTTCTTATGCTGGCACAATTACCTGAGAGTTCAGGTAAAATAGTCAGATATAAATAAAATTTTGTATAATTATACACTGATGGTTTAGACACTTGTATAAAATCATCATGTACAAAATAAATTTTTTTAAACAATTTACTAATTATAATCAAATTTTTTGTATTAAATTAGATGTGGTATGGTTTATTTTGTAGCTAATAATTCTGATAAAAATGTTAATTTAATAAAACATTGTTTTCTTGTTCCGTTTAAGATGGGCCCAATAATTCATACGTAATTCTTAACTTTAGCCGATTTTCTCTACTTCCAAATAAATTTATTTGAAATAGTTGTATATTCATTATGAGATATAGTGTGATAATTATTTTAAACTCATGATTTTTGTTTTTTTTTTTTTTTTTAATTATTGCGACAACCTAATCTAGAATTCAATTGTATAGATATGTCCCAACAGAATTCATAATAGTATTTATTCAGAAGTAATTGGATATATGATCCCAATTTAACATTTGTTTAAATTATATTACGATTGTAGTATATTTAGCTGCATTGGGCTTGTAATGAAACGTTAAAAGTTACAGGGATGTTAATAAATAATTGGTATATACACAGAGAAAGATATATATACATATCACTCACACATGTGCACGCGCGCATACATATGTACAATACTAGCATTAACACTCACAAACATATGTCATACAAAAATCCAGAATGACTTCGAACTTCTTCTTCCGGCAGTTCGGTCGAATTGAGCACACAAAGAGTGTACAAAGGAAAAAATACATTGTGAAATAACACATACTACAGACTGTTAACATCACAGTATTATACATGATTTATGTGTATGTTTTTACCATGTATTAGCACGTATATCCTTCCTAGGAACCGAAAATTATATAAAGAAATAATATTTTCTTTAATGTAATTTCATTTTTTTAATACTTTTTACAATTTTATGATATGTGTTAACTGATAATAAACAAATTTTAATATTATAAGTGCCTTTCTTTATGTATTGTTAATTTGCTACATACATAAAGCTATTGAGTTCAATTAAAACAGAAAGTTTCATTCAGCATTGCTGAAGACAATAGTTAATATTTTAAAGTTTCATTTCTCCATCAGCATGTACATTCAAAAAGGGTATAATAAATATCTTTTTCACACGGAAAATTTGTATCAAATTGAAAAGAATTTAAAAAAATTGAAAATAATACGAAATTTAAGCTTTAGCAATTGTTCATTATTTTTTGGTAAAAACATTACGCATATAATAGTTACTATTAGTTCTGCTTATTCAAGCTCTATTCGATACCGAGCAGTCGGAGGCTGGATTCAGGCGAAATATTTTTGTATCTATGTATATATTTATAGTTAAATACATAGAAGGCGGCAAAGCTGCTACATATCAAGTCATGATTTACATATATGCGATTATGAATGTGGCTGCTTTTTGGAAGGTTTGCTTTCATTTGTTTTCCTTGGAATGTCCATAGACACTATTAACTAGCGTACATTAAAAATAAGTTCAGTCATTTACACATACTGCAGACACTTCCGAAAGGGAGAGACGGCCATTCTGTTTCACAAAGCGACTCAGCCTTGTATACCTATTCATTTGTACAAATTAGTTCTGTACAATCGTGTAGCATTACATTAGGGTCAAAAAAACGATATACATTGTAATAGTATTGTAGAAATGTTTTACATCAAATAAATTTTTCTACAGTATTTCGGAAATTGTACAGTACCACTAAAGTAACTAAATGCGCGTGCAGTTCCGAATAATTAATCACTGTTTTTCTATTTTCTGGTAATTGGTTTCTTCTAATAACTACATGATACAATTTGCACGTAAAAATATTTTCACTACACAACTTATCTTTTAAACGCAAAATTAACGAGCAATTCAGACTTAATATACCATAAGAATTGACAATTAAAAATTATGGGATCAATTATTAAAATATTTAAATAAAAAAACAAGTGTACCACCTTGTCTCAGTATTGAGGTAGCGTAATGTTGCTTTGGCTTAGCGAGTCTTTCTGATTATCTAGAAATATTTCAACTGATTGGTGGTACTTGAAAAAACAAATACTACACGCTGAAGGATGAAACTGTACATTGTGATCTTTATATGTAAGACATATTTTGATCTTTCTACTGCATACATATATGTCAAGTTCAACGTTACATTCTTGTACACACGTGTACGATCGTACAATCATCGTACTGCATTGTGATTTCTTTGGTAGAAACTATTTGGTACGTTTGCGCCCATTCGGAAGGTCATGCAGAGCAATGGAGTTACAACGAATGAACAGCTTGCAGGGGTACTTCACAGGGAAACAAACATCAACAACAATGATTCCTCAAGTATCAACAACATTAACAACATCCCATTATAACTTATCATCATTATTGTGATCGTCTCTATCATGACCAGTTTTGTCATTACCGTAGTCTCAGTCTTTCGCCACACCTTCAGCTTGATAACATTTTGTAATGGATAATTATAATTATCATCGCAATCATTGTCTTCAGCAACATCGTTAATTATTGTTAAGTAATATTTATGGCCATTGTCAGCGTATTTTTTTGTCGTTCTTATTATGGCCATTTCCTTCTTCACTTTTTTCTTTCTTTTACTTTGTGACTTTTTGCTATATTTATAATATTCTTCACCTTCGTAAATTTTTCACACTTTCGGTCGAATTCAATAATAATTATTTGTGGAACTTTGAAATAAAAGGCTAAAAAGGTACTTACAAATGAATTATCGATATGAAATTCTTTGAATGAATAAAGAATGCTAGAGAGCCGAATGAGATATGACTTTTTTGGGATTAAATGAAATTAATGAATGTAAAATAAGATATAACAATATATGTCACTGATCGATAGAGTTCAATCAATTAAAATTACAAAGTTCCTTAATTTTATAATACCTACTAACGCTTCGTACACGTACTTATACATTGCGCGATTATTTTGGTATAAAATGTTCGTTCCTTAGTTCACGATAAATAAAAAGCGAGCTCCCTTAAACACGTCCATGCAACTGATTGTTTGATAGTTCTCTAATTACGATAGTTGCTTCGGTGTAATTCTTTAATATATTACGTGTTTATATGTGATCTACAAACATTTAAAATTCATCGAAATAACAGAGGAGAACAAGTATTCCAGCGCTCCTTCTGTATGAAGTAATATATATATATATATAATATATATATTCTTTTATATATATACATATATATATATATATATATGGCATATTAGGTCACCGTCTTATAGATGCAGAAATATAGAATGCAGTCTTTTCCTTGTACATAAATAGTTTCCTCGAGAGCAATGGCACTAATATAATTTTGGGGACTTTTATTTTGTGCGGTAAGTGGTATTATCAAAATAGATAGTTGTTTTAACTATTTGTTACATAGTATAAGTACATAATATAGTATAAGAAATATGCGATTACGTCCTGAAAATGTTTACGAACTATCATGATATTTATTATTTCGAAAACTACAAATCTTGCTATCCTTAAGAAATCAAGATAAAATTAGACAGAATTATTGTCATAATTACCTATAACTGATTCTTTGGCTTTCGAGGAAAAATATATTTAACGATTCCTTGACCGCTCACTACATTTCAGTATCTATATGAGAGTCATTGATTCAGGATTATTATTCTTTACTCGAAATACGTAACAAGCGGTTTATGAAATATACGCGACATAAGAATTGATAAAATGTTTAAAATTTTTTTCTTGAACATACGATAAATCACCCTTTTCTTTTAACAGTTTATGTTCAATCGTTTTTTCATACCACCGCATGTTACAACTCTTAACAATATGAAGATACCCTTAGAATGATACTTAAAGCTCTTACAACTTTTACAACACACTTGCATACAGAGAGTAGTAATAGCTGGGGTTTTGGACTAGACGTGATGTGGTTGAAGATGAGGCAGCCTGCTAGACGAGTTGGATCAGGATTTCATACTATTCGATTCATCGATTCGCCTCTCTGTTCCTACAGCTAATAAATTAGCAAACTCCACTTCTAACAATTGACGAGCCTGTTAAAATACAAAAAGATAGTGAAGTTTAATACATATAAATTTTGAATCAATAATTATAGCAGTTCATATACACTGCAACGTACTTGTGTGTTTTGGGTTGGAATTTGCAAAGCTAGAGCAAGACTATTCGCATCGAAACTTTCATCGAGTGCTATAAGAGCTCCATGTACCCCAGATTCTAAGAGATTGTTCCCGTATTCCTGGATACATGAAATTATATTTTATTATCACTATAGTATGAATAAACTATAAAATAGAAAACAGTAAGCTACAATTACTTTCAGGCCGATAGATTGCACCCATTTTATAACACGATCGTTACTCCATACAAGCACATCGACGTTGGCACTTTCCGCCAATCGTCTCCTTTCCTCTAATTGTTGTCTATCATAATTTAGTCGTTTTAAACACAAAATCCCATATTGAAAACTTGTTCTATAAAAACAAATAAAAGTCGGGTCAGATATTCAAATTATTGCACAATATAAATTTTTATTTTTAATTTCTTATTACTTGTGAAAACTGTCAACTAATTTAAGTTGACCTCGAAGATCCTTTTTAGTAAGGTGATCCAACATTCTAGCATCAACAAGACACTCCATAAAAGTGGATCGATATTGAGGTAAACCAAGACTTGGAAACCAAACATTACCAATCCATTCGTGATTCATATCTCCAAATGCTAAGGTTGTGCGAGAGGTTTTTGGTGCTGATGGACTTGTGAGTGACACCATTTCTTGGATAGCTAACCGTAGTTTTAATCGATGTAGAGGATTACTAAGAACAAAAATTATTAATATGCCATCATATTTTATAAATAATATCTTGTATATCGTATATAAAGTCATGAAAATCGCGTAAAGATAATGCGATGTATAATTTGTTAAATAATTCTATTTCATACCTTATACCAATTTCACGTTGAATCTCAGTATCACTAAGAGCACTCATTATGGCACCACTTTTGACATTTGCTCGACAAGCTGCAACATACCAAGTTGGCATGCCTACCCAAAGTTCAAGCCAAGCTACTACAGTTGGCCCATTCCAGAGAGCAAATGGTGTTCCAGCTTTCATAGCCTCCACCAAAAGTTCTTGCCGTGAGGAATCTAACATACTTCCAAACATACTAGGACTAGAAGATAATTAGTATTATAATTATATTCAATAATGATTTTTAACATAAATTATTCTTTTTAATTATATCTATCTACCTTTTCTTTTTTCTACGGTCAACATCGCTTTTACTGCCCATAGTTCCAGCTACAGCAACACTATCTCCATAATCAGGATCTGCAGGTGTGCTTGCTCCTCCCATACCTGGTATATCTCCAGGCATTGATGTATCTTTCCCTTTGATCTGCAACCAAAGCTTTCTCTTTCTTTTTCTCTTCCCTTTTCTAGCTTTTGTTCTTTCATTACTTGGTTATTATCTTATGTAATTAAAATCTGCATCACCTTTTCTTTTTTGCTGAAAAATCTACCAAGACTGCTCTTAATGCCTTTCTTCTTTTGAGCTGCAGCCACTGCTGCTGCTGTTGCTGGACTCATGGTAGATTGCATGTGCAAATGTGAACTAGACAGTTGTCCAATTGGTAATCCAACACCAGACAAGTTGTTCTTATGCAAACTGTCCTGGCTGCTATGACGTGAGGACAATGGGGAAGGGGGAGTCCCAGAATTGAGTGCGCCGTTGTTATGTTGCCCATGCCTGCTGCATGGAGCGCTAATCTAGTTTCTATTTCTACTCTAAATAATGCATTCTGGCCAACACACTACTCAGCTTTTACTTTTGATCTATATCCTATGTACTTCTTACATCACTTATGTGATCTGAAGTTTCAAATTATTTTTAGATCTTTTTAAAGATACATCATCACATCAAACAACCCAAATTAACAACAGGATTCATTAAATTGACTAATATTCTGTACTTTTTAGTATTTAAAGGGTATAGATTAATATTCTATACTGTTTAGTATGTTTTAAATTGCATGAGATAAAATATGAATAGGGAACTTACTGAGCCAAGTGAATTGCATTACTTAAACAGATTATAGCAATAATACATAATCGTACTTATATATGATTATATATGATCATAAGCATAAATACTATTTAGCCTTGAATGTATACAACTTGATTTTTTATTCAAAAGTATCTATTTTTAATGAAAATCATATTTCTATCTGAGCCAGGTTAAAATACTAAGTTTTTATTTTGTACTACTCAAGACATCTACAATCTTGAATCAAATAATAATTGCTACAAGCAATCAACTAGTGAATTAAAGAAGAAAAGAAGCAGTATCAGTGATTTTAGAAGTTCATGGAAAAAATCATTAAATCACACTTTAATTGCATATAAATGTTACATAATATAATATGAAAAAATTAAAAATATTTTTTTCCAGAAACATCTAAAATGATCAACTATGTTTAACAAAATAGTGAAAAAAGAGTTGTAATACCTACTCAGTATTACAGGCAAGGCATAAAAACCTGGAAATATAGCTAATCACTGCTTATGAGATGGGATTGTCATAACAAGTACTATTTAAAAACAAAGATATAGAGAGAGCATATTATATATAAATTTTATTAAAATATTTAATTTTACTGAGATAACAAAATTATTAATTTTATCTATTAGATCCATCTATATCTTTGTATCTATTTTTCATGAAACAACCTTATTCGCGTAGAAGATTGAGACGCGATGTTAACTCGATGCAATTCTCTTGGCTGTCTAAATTCCCTCGTTTGTTTGAGACAGCGATGTCTGTCGTGAACTGGGCAGGCTTGAATGTACGATGAATGGAAGAAGCTAATATCAGTTTCTTCCAGGGACTCATTTCTATCAGATCTATCAGTCGGTTCGTCCGTACCACTGTGCTCGAAAATTGGGGCTGTAGGCATGTATGTGATATCTTGCATGCTATTTATCGATCATAGATGTTTTGTAATAAGGAATCAGTTGTCATTAAAAACAAAAATACCCATAATAAATTGTACAATGCAAAAGTATTTATAATTATCATTTTCTACTTTATTCTTTATGAAAACCTAAGATCATCTTAGTAAATCCCTTTTTCCCAAAAAAGGTATAAAAAGGATCTGTTACCATCGACGTCACTTAGGTCGACCTCAAAGTTGTTCATTTCATGCCCACATGGGCCACTCAAATATGTCGTGCACAGCGGCATATGTTGCGGATTACATGCAGAACTACAATCTTTAATTAACCTGTGAGCAGGAAAACCACTGCTGGGAAATCCGGCTTGTCCAGTGCGTCTGGCAGCATAAACAACGCACAATACTAACTACTTACAAAATAATTACTGGATCTTTGGCAATCCCACCTCTATGTATGCAAGGACTTTGATAATTTGGCCACGTTTAGTATATCATTATTAAGCATTAATAAGTTAAACAAAATAGCATATTTACGACATTCAATACACATAAGAGATATCTTGTTTCTCAGCAAAATAAAAAAAACCGGTAAATCATAGCGAAATTCTTAAAGAATCCTCGTTGTCAGAGATGTGGTTGCTAAAGTGTTATTTATAATGCACTATCATTGCTTTCTCAGATAGTGCTCGTGTAGTTTAAGCATTGGATCCATGAATAAGTTCAAAGTTTTTTAATATCAATAAATCGAAAATTAAACACATACCTTCTCAGTTCCTCTTGACTATGAGCAAGTGCCTGTGCTACTCGTTCTAGTTTGATGGATCGAGCAGTCAACGGTGAAGCTGCATCGCTACCACCACTTCCTGCACCGCCAGTACTGTCTCTTTCACTCACTGAATGCAATTCTTCGCCTGATAACTGTAACTATAATATACAAAAAAATAATACATATCTAAATGTTATTTTTTTATAAAAATCTACTCGAATAGCAGTCAAAATTGTTGTTATAGCTATTTACCTGGCTCGCAGGAAGGGATTCTGAAAGTTGACCTGGACTAGCTAAAGAAGCAGCATACTGGTGTAAATGTGCTGGAGACATTGATGCTGGTGCCTTTAAATTAGTACAAATTTTCAAAATATGTTTTAAAATTATTAGGAAATAAATGGTATTTATGAAATAAATAATTAAAATAAATGATATGTACAGTATGGTACTTATGCAAATAATCTCTGTTTGGACTATGATGCGATTTTGGAGTGGATCGTCCACTTAATGGTGGAGATGCTCGTTCCAGACTTCGCCCTCTCGTTAATAAATTCATATGTTCAAGACTACCAACTCGGGATTCCAATTCTTCAGCACGCGCTTCGGTACTTTGTTTTTCTTCCTTCATCAAAAGGGACATCACTTTGACATACCAATATATAAAACAACAGCGTAATAAAGAGCATGTAATTACCTGGATTAATCTAATTTCATTATTAATTGCATCTAATTGTTCTTGTAACATTAGTGCTAATGCTTGAGCATCCGTGTGGCCTGTAGGACTAATTACATCAGCTGCACAGCTGAATAGACTTTCATTATCTCCATCACCTTCTGCATCACTGGAAACATCAAATGCTTGTTGCACATTTGCAAGAACGTGCGCCTGTTGTAACTTTTCCCACTCCTGTTCTGCTAAAGTACGCGCTACATAATTCTAGAAAAAGTTAAATGTTATAAATATTCTTCTATTATATGTTTAAAATTCCAAGTATTAATAATACCTTTGATGGATCTTCTTCAATTGCAGGTCGTTTACTCGTTCTCCTTGGAAGAGAATGGATATCAAAACTACTATGACTCGCACTCCTAGAAAAGGAACCTGGATCCACTGCATTTGGAGACAAACTTCTAGTCAGAGCATCTGTTTGCTGAATATTGAAAGCAATTTCTTGCTGAAGCATCTGTCTTTTTACATTATCTATTTCTAGACGAGCTTTTCCTAATTCTTTAACTATTTCGGCCTTCTCATTTTGAAGGTCTTCTGCAATTTTCCTAGTCTTTTCCAGTTCTTGTGTAAGTGCATTTTTCTCTTCTAATGCGTGCATCCTTTCTTCTAAATGTACTTGTAATCTATCATTGGATTCTATGGAAATAAATTAAAACTAATAAATGTAATAAAATATTTGTTATCAATAATGTAATTGTTTTAAGTAAAGTACATAAATTACCTGATAAAAGTTTATCGACAGTTGTACTAAGTCGTGTATTGTGTTCCTCATTCATTTTAAGTCGTTGATTGACACGCATCACTTCTGCATTCTTTTCTTCAAGTTGCGTTTCCAACCTTTGTATTCTATCATTTGCGCTGCCGTGTCTTTCTTGAGCCTGCTTATTAAATATTTCATATAATTAAAATCAATGTTTGTAGATGTAAAGTTTAATCAAAGATAAATTTATAAAAATATATTTATTTGATTGTCCTTTATTTCAAATACAAATAATCTTCCAGTATACCTAATATGAAAGGCTAATAAATTGAATTGAAGAATACATACATGCCTAATACATATATGTCTACAGAAACGTGGTAATAGCACTAAACTACGAGTTATTAACAAGCTCTGAAAATAATTACATTGATTGCTATGTTCAGTATATTCTGTGTTAAACCGAAAGTAAATAAATTATTTTTATTATCAACCTTCACCTTTATAACTTATACTCGATTATCAGCATATTGTATTCACTAATTTCTTTAAATAAAATTTATTAAAAATATCTTAAGTATGTTTATTGTTTGTGTAGTATGTAGTTAGCCATAGCCAATAATGAAGAATATGACAGAGAAATATTGCTAAAAGTTCAATATGTAAACTTAAGTAGAATAAAGACTATTTTCAAGAAAAGATATTAAAGGGGTAAGCATTCTAGACAGAGATACATTTGGAGGCGGGGAGTATCGATAGAAGTGCAGAGGAATAAGAAAAATAAGAAATTGATGATACAACGACTTAATTCCTCTGCGTACCTGGTTGGGCCTCCTCACCTGCGTCAGAGCCTCTGTCCTCTGCTTTAATTGTTCTTCCATTTCTGGTAACTTAGCATATTGGGCTAATTTTTGTTCTGCGAGTTCTAGTTTTTCCTGTATCGCTGCTGTTGTTTCTTCTTGGAGCTAAAGTATGTTTAAGAAATAAATTACATAAATGATATTAAACTAAAATTTTTAAACTAAAATAAATTGCAAATTAATGTAGAAAAAGTTACTTTTAATTGAGCCTTCTTATGTTGCAGCTCCTGTTCCAGTTTTTCATTGAGATCATGTAAACTAGTGGACTCCCGTTGAACGTTAAGATATCTTTTCTCAAGAGTTGCTATCCTTTCTTCTTGGTCCTCTTTTTGGGCAACATTCTCACGTAAATCTCTCTGCAGTTTGACATTCGTTTCTTGTGTTTTCAAAAGGTCTTTCTGAGTTTTGGACAATGTTTCTTCTAACTCTGCTACTCGTCCACTTAATTCGGCTACTCGACGCTGCCATGTGCTCAACTCTGAGCTCTAGAATAATCATTATAACACATTTTCAATAAAAGTTAATGCGTATTTAACATACTACTTGAATGTGTATAAAAAGAGTATCAAAAATTGTGTTTTCCATATCTACCATGTAAGTATATACAACTACAACAACTATGCTGTAACAAGACATTATCTCCTGATCTGATCTTAATTCTGAGATATTACATCATGTCTAGTTTAAGCATGTACTATAGTTATAAATTGTAAATGTGTTTTTATATTGCATGGGATGTTTTGTGTCAGTATACATATGTTACATTAATAATTAAGCTGTTCATAAAATTTGCTTGGGGAAGAGAGATTCATTCTTATTCACTAAATCATGCGAATATGAAACGCAGAACACACATTGTTGGTATATCCACCTACATCACCATGCCATAGACTCCAATGATAATATGGCACATTTAATTTAAAGATAATTCAAACTGTGCAACATTGTGTTATAAAATTAATATATTTTTTCTGTTAATATCCTTCAAAAAATCTCATCACAATATAAAAACTAAATACAGAATTTTATAGTTCTCTATCATCTTTTATGACATTTAACGAGTACAATCTAAAGTTTGATCTAGAGGATCTAGTAACATGTATAAGTGACAGCACTTAATAATATCAAAAATAATAGTCTATCATTATGTTCCAAGATCATGCGGTATTAAAGAGACATTCTAAGGTCTCTATATCTTCAATTTAAAAACGACGATATAAAAACGTTCTTCTGAACTTATATAAATCGCTTGAAATGCATGCAGAAAAAAAGGGAAGAATGAGGGAGAGTATGTGCGTTTTGTATCTTAAGAAAATTAGCAGTCAGGGGCACGTTTTATCGCGTAAAACATCCTACAAATCCATCTATCTGACTTTGCCAAAATCAGTGAGAGATCATACGTACTCTAAGTAGATCGTCGGGATACATTTTCATACCTGCTTGTCGACAGTGGCTTGCAAATCTATTACGCGCGCTGCAGAATCCTGGTCCGCAGGATCAAGACTGCCATTGCTCAGTCTACTTTCGATCTCTGTTGACTTCTCCGTACCTAGCTTTTGTATCGACTGCTGCTGTTGTTGCTGTAGTTGTGGTTGTTGTTGCTGTTCCTGTTGGCCTGCTGCCTGCTCAGTCTCATTCTGCCCGATCACAACACTACATTCAGAATGCCTCGCTCGCATTGCCTGTCCTGCATTGCCGCGCAATTCCCAACAACTACGTATCTATGCAACTACGCGACTAAACCACTACCGTGCACGCTATTGCGAATTCATTCTTAATATGGATGCAACGATCGAGATGAGTGGCAAACAAATGGTCAGTTTATCGGTACAGATTTGAACTCTGTTCAAGGATGACGTTGCATGATTTCCTCTGTTTGACGCATAAAATATCATGATTTGAAACGAATTGAAATTTCTTACAGAAAAGAGAAGTTGAATGAAACATGAAATAGAATGATTGACTATTACTATTTCAAATTGTGGTACATGAGAATCATCAATGATTAAATGCTTCTAAGATGATAGAATACACTCTTAAATTGTTAAACACAAGCTAAGGGCTGAAATCTGTGACCAATAACTTCGAAATCGATCAATATCTAACGCCGAGATTAGAAGCGTATCACAGACAGAGAAAGAGAACAAGAGGGTCCGATGACGTAGAAAACGAACTTTATCACTCTATGTAAAACGGTGTGACTAAGTGAGATACTGAATCATATAAAAACCATGGACATGCATAGTGAAAAGATCGCATAAATGCAATTCACGACGCCCAAACATATCGAACACCCTTTTTCATGTATGCATGATGAATGTGACTGTGAAGTATGAGGGAGCAGTGTATGTGAGATATTTGTGGAGTGCATTATGCAAAGGTGTGCAGCATTGTAAAGTTATGTCTCGGCTACCTTGCTCTGTTGTTGATCATCTTCTGCTTGACCATTCTCCTTGGGCCTATCTTCTATAGCCTTAGGTGTGTGCCCACTTAATTTATATTGCTGGAGCTGCAAATTTATTCAAATTATAAATATTATATATACAATACCATAGTAATATTATACATATTATCAAATTCTAGTATAATTTCTAAGGAGTATGTACAGAGTATATTAACTATGATAATACCTCTTCTTTGGTAATAGTAAGCTCTTCTTCCAAACTCGTGTTTCTTTCTAATGCAACTCGTAACCGTTCGCGTACCTAAAAATTAGTCACTATTAAAAAATCCATTTCTCATAATCTTCTTAATTTTTAATATATAATTACTATAGTTTTCTTTACTGTATCTTTGACTACAATTGAAAATTAATCGAATAAATTATACGGATTATACTTTGTTTTAACTGGTAAATCGTTATGTTTGATCATTTTAGACATATGTGCGATTCACCAGCCTTTTATCTAGATTTAAAAACACGCAACGAATATCAGTTACAGAATTCAATGAGAATAGCAAATCCGTATCCTCCCTCAAGGTTGCGAACGTGTCAATGTCGTCAAACAATGGATCAGAAAGTTCTTACTTTCTCGTCTAAAGCCTTGTGGTGCTCGAATAGACTTTTCAGAGCTTTGAGCACTTCAACTTCGGACGATACTCCAGATTGTGTGGCACTTTGCCTTTTCACTACAGTCATCCTAAGCGATCGTTCATGTCGTGAGACCAGGCATTCCAGATGTTCGAGCAGAAGCTGTACAAGGCAATAGAATCGTCTTGGTGAGAAATGTCGTAGACACAAGTACCGGCTTCAATCTATAAGATGCATTAGTAGTCTGTTCTACGTACACGAGTATTATTCCTCTCTGCTTTTAGCTCCAATATCTCTTCTTCTCTTTCTAGGATACTTTCGCGGGCCGCTGTGAGCTCCTTCGTCAACTGAATGAAATCCTAGAATTAAGAGATACATTTCATATATAAATTATTCAAAAATCAGGAATACAATGGAAATATTTAATAACAATAAGACTGAAATAAGATCGATGCGTAATAATTGCAAATAAATCCTGAAATATTCGCATTTCAAATCATTTTTAATCATTCAATGAGCGATACAGAAGATCTAAGTAAGTATCAAGATCTCAAATCGTTTAAAGTTTTATGGAAATAATCGTCAAAGTGGTCCAGAGTCAGTCTCAGCGGGAAGCTCGATAAGAAAACCACACTTTCACCTTTTTCATTCAAGCGCGATTTATACACGCCTTCGAACGTGTTACTTCCGCTCGACACTCCAGCAGAATGTTAAATCTTTATTTATAAATGCTACCACGATCGATATGGCCTTCCCCGTTGAAACAACACCGACAGCTGCTTTACACTTTAAAGGAGCAAACAGCCCCATCTAAATTTACGTCACTCCTATTTGTCCTTGCTCCTATCTCTCATTTTCTAAAACTTAGTAGAACTTAACACTTGAAATGAGTATTTTTAGTACTAGAAAAAAGAAAAAATCTTAAAGAGGAAAAAAAAATTCTAGAACCTGTTTGAAGTTTTTCCATTTAATTTCAGATTCCTGAAATCTTCAATTTTTAATTCTCTCCGCTTAAACGTCGACTCTTCCTTACGACAGTAATTAACAAACAGCCTAAAGAATTTATTCTTTATACTATCTCTTTAATATTTGGATTTCCACCTTTGAGTCTGCACTAGCTTCTTGAAAAATTTGGACTCAGGTATCGGCAATGATGAGAACTTGAAACACGTTAAGAGGATAATTTATGCAACTTTATAATCCAAAACAGAATGTTGGAGAGTCTGCTTGCTTAGCATAATTTCAGTTCCTCAAATAGCTATAAGAAGAAACTAATCTGGTGAAAAATAACAGAGGTTCAAGAAATCTCTACATGGTAAGAAAGAAAAATACATTAAAATATTAAAAATTACTTGTAACTCGCTCGTCATATATCTATGTACATGGCATTAAAAACTGAATTACTAACATGGATTACATAAAAGTTGTTCGGTAACAAGCAGTCGTTTCACGTTGAAACGGAGCAGAATGGACAAGGCTGGCCGTTCAAGTGGCTGGATAGTGTCTTCGAGTGGAGCGATATCGATGGATTCGTAAAGAACTCATTAGTCAGACGATAGCTGATTAATTACAGCCAACGGAATCCTATTAACGCATCGAGTGTGTGCCAAACAAAATCGTCGGGAAATACGGCTGTGTGCAAAGCAGGTACACGTAGAAGGAGGTACCTAATTTGCATACTGAAGCTCAGAATTTGAATTGTTCCATTGGGAACTTGGAATCACGCTAGTTGTCTGCAATTAGACTAGAGCACTCTGTATTATACAATATTGACCGGAGTTTTGAGATAAAATATTGCATCGTAATAATTTTGCAAGTGTTTGAATAATTTGTAAAGCTTTCTGTATATAATTCCTTTTTCCTTCTTTCTGGGAATATATTTTCAAAATTGGATGCAGTGACATCGAGTGTGAGAGTAAATTAACAATCTGTTGATGTTGATTGATTACGTACACGTTTTAAGTTGAGATAGTCTATCATTACAAATGGTAACGAGGAATTAATACTCCTAGATTAAAAAGTTTATCTAATTACGTGTGTATCCTCATGAATAAATAATTGTTGTTACACAATGCAAGCTAAATGAAAAATGCTTTCTGTTCAATTTTAAGTCCTCCGTATCTTTTCATTTCTTACTTACGATAATATTGGATAACATCACATTATTAAATGTTTCATCATGTCTAGACATGTTATATATTTATACCGAAAGAAAAATCATTTCCAAAGTGGTACGAATAAAATTGCAAATGAAGAATCACCAGAGCGTTTCGCACTTTTAAATAACACGCGCAAATATCATTGTACGGGAATAAATATTTAATCTTGAATTTAAATGCTATTCATCGATTACTTTGCGTTAATACAAGCAGCACAACTTTTGTTTCATTCGGACACCTAACACCTGTATTTAAGCGTAATTGATCGATGTGTTTGCCAGCAAGGCCGAATCGATTCATTAAGAGGTCCATAAAAGGAAAGAAAGAGAAGCTGAAATTTCTTTTTCTACAATTTCTTCGCGCAACAAGTAGCTGAAAGAAGGAAACCTGCAATGTGTAACTTGTGCCAGCAATTAAAATAAATTTTTCTTCGTTTTCGTGCCAGAGACGCGTATAGTTCCTACACATTCAAGTACAAGTCTCATTTAGAGGAGCAATTAACGATGCGACATCGTTATCTACGCTCCTCGCAATTTTACGAGGTGTTTATAGCGAAACAATTTTAACGCGACGATTTAATATGTGCATAATTAAGACTAGTTTAAAGCACAAACGCTTCCATGCGAATGATGTACAACTTTCTGAACAAAATAGACTAAGTGAGGAAATTAAGAAACTTGAAACTTGAACAAGTCTGTCTAAAAGTTGCCTTATGATTAAAAAATTGTAAAACAATAGCAATCGCGTTAAACCGGAGCTGCCTCAGACGATGCCAAAGATTAGACACTTTGGATTACTTCGAGCTCGTAAGAATTCAAATTTCACGATCACAGAGTCATGAATACACTACCACGGCCAATCTCTAAGCCATGAGACCTAGAACTGTATGATTCCAAGGTCGTCGCATCTACCTCGGTGTCACCTCTGACTTCTTAGATTCACTTTGAGCTATCTCCAGGTATTATGTTCTCGTAATAATTCAAGGCTGTTAGCGGTATCTAGGACTGTTGTTATCTAGGTTATCCATTTTCTACCTCTGTCCAATTCCTCGTTATTTTGTCAAATAAAAGGATAAAATCGCGTTTCTTTCGCATTTTTGTCATGCGAACATAAATTACAATATCGGAATTAGTACACCGACAAGGGTCATGCACTTGTAACAAACTGCAGCTGCATAACTCTCACAGTTCGTTGCGCCGTAGGCGCAAACTGTACGTCCGCACGCGAATTTAAATCCCATCTTACGTACGCATCGCGTTACACGATCGATATTGTGTGGAAATTATCGCTATTCTGATAGTGTGTTCCCAACGACATCGTGACGCAACCATAGAATCGATAGATGCACAGTGAAATTCTATTCAGCACGATTCCACCACCCTTTTTGGTTCTTTGCATCTTTTACAAGGCAATTTGCGTGAGACCATGTTCGACTGCCTGGTTCTTTTCCAGAAGCAATTGGTTCAACCTGTAGTAAAGAGAATACAGATCGATTTTAATTTTGCAAGATCTATGTTGATTGTGAACACTGATGTTAAAGTGCCGAGATACGACAAATGCGATAAAGTCAATACAAATGGTATTTGTATCTAGCCATTTCCACCTCGATTCTATCTTGTGGAAGTATTTTTATATGTACATTCACTAACGATAAAAGGTTCATATTCGATATAATTATAGTACAAATTTTAATGATCAATTTTTTAAAGCGTTGAGAGCAGGAATAGGAAGGTTGAACGTAAAACGTACCAATTTCCTAAATGGTGTAATTGTGTATATCCTTTTCTACGACTTCAATTTTTGTTAATTAATTTCTTTGTCCTTCCAAAAGTCCAAAGGTTCTGAATGTTTTTGCACCTGTTAACAGGGTACTTGAGAAACCTACAATCAACGATGGAACATTTCCCTTGGCGAAGAAACAACACTTGAAACCCGCTGCAAGACACTTTCTACTGTCAATTGTAAATAGCACGAGTTCCGCCTCTGCAAATTGCAGAAGCAAATCAAATTAATGCGCAGCGGCATTCGAGTTTGCGATTTAATTCTATGAAACTACGTGTACATTCTTTTTAAAACTGTCTTCTATGATTATCTCTAGAAACATCACTCTCTATAATATTCTATTTATCGTTTCGACTTTTACTTTAATATGTTATTAATTATTAACGCCATCAGAGTGGATTGAAATAGAAACATATCACAGTTGCTTTGTTCCTCTGTTATCTGACTTCGAATTGAGAATTCTGCAAGCTTTATAAATACATTCCATAAATTTTTAAACTAATGACTACGTAAAACTCGTCGCATCCAGCTGACATGAAAACTCTTACTGACTGACAATTATGCTTATTATCCAGATCGCAGTGTTTTCTAAAGATTCTCGTGAAATGCAACGAGACGTTTTAGCTTAATTTCTCGGCATT